CCTCATGGACGGAGAGCGATGGATTTGTGTCGGCGGGCCGAAAGGAGACAATTAAAGGGATAGGCGGGGAAAGGCGAAGTGGCTTCATACTCTCTGCCACTCTCCTCAGGGTTTTTAGGCCCTTATTGGCCACCGTAGACCTTTTAAAAAATTTTTAAAATTTTAAATAAATAAATAAATAAATAAATACATAAATACATAAATAAATAAGCAATCACACTAATACTCAATTAATCCACCCCACCTCCTTGGGCCTCAACCTTTAGGCCCTCAGCAACCTTTAGGCCCCCTTTGATGGAACGGTGTTTTTGTCAGAATTGTCAGAAATTTTGATTTTTTTTTCTCTCCCCCAAAACACCAAATGAAACTGAAATTGAAAATAAAAGGCATTCACAATCACATGGTGAGGAAGGCTTCAGCCTGCTTCATTAGCTCTTTTCCTCATTAAGGGTTTCCTCTGAGAATCCCCAATGAGGCCGCCCTGAGAAAGATGGCTGAAAGTTTTAATTGAAAATCTTTGCCAGAGGTTTGCTAATCTCTCTCTCTATCTGTGTCCCGGGATATAATTATAAACACACAGCTATATGGTCTATATATAATATACATGTACTGGCCTCAGCCTTTTTTCTTGCTAGATTGCTGCAACTCGTTCCACATGGGCCCGCCCTTGGATACTGTTTGAAAACCAAAGTTTGTGCACCCATGTTGTGGTTGTGTTGCAATGTGCTGGTATGTGACATGTAAGCTGTGTATCGCTGGCCTCGTACCAGCCCCACCAGCTTCCAATCTGCCTTTGAGCAACACACATAAATTCAAGGTCCTCATGCCTGCCGAGGCAGAGAACGTACAGTGGCGCCTCGCTAGACAGTTGCCCCGCATGACAGTTTTTTCGCTAGACATTGACTTTTTGCAATCGCTATAGCGATTCGCAAAACGGTGATTCCTATGGGGGAATTTCGCTGGTCAATGTTTGGTCCCTGTTTCGCAAACTGATTTTCGCTAGATGATGATTTTGACAGCTCCCTCCGTGCTCGCAGATCAGGTGTTTTTGGGACCTAAGTTTCGCAAGACAGCGATTTAAACAACTGATCGGTGGTTCGCACAGCGGCTTTCCTATGGCCGATCTTCGCTGGACAACGACAATTCTTCCCCATTGGAACGCATTAAACAGGTTTCAATGCATTCCAATGGGGAAATGCTTTTTGCCAGACAATGATTTCGCTAAGCAGCGATTTCAATGGAACAGATTATCATTGTCTAGCGAGGCACCACTGTAATGTGCTCTAAACTACCTTTAAAGAGCAGCCCACCCATCGTCACCCATACTAACCAAGACCGATGGGAGCCGGAGTCCACGGCTGTTCTACTTTGACTGGGAGTATCTCTCTGGGATTTCAATTTGGGAGCCTTTCACGCATCCCAGATTGTGGAATTATGGCAGGATAAGGATTGAAAGCGAAATGATATTGAGGTCTGCATCACAGGGTGTGGCAAATGGCGGCTAATTTGAAAGTATTGGAGTGCATCTCACTCGCTCAAATTGTCATCTCTAACGGTGGTCAGGCAATCCTAATTTTTAATGGTCCTAATTTTTGTGTCGGGACCAGCCCGAATTCGTTTGATTTCCCAGGGCTTCTGATCCAGCAAAACCTTCAGGGCTACCCCGTTTCCCCCTGAAAATAAGCCCTAATAGGATTTTTCAGGAAGCTCGTCATAGAAGCCTTACTCCCAAAATAAGCCCTAGTTAAGTTAAACCCCCACCCTCCACCTTTGTGCAGCCACCAGAAGAAGAGGACAGGACAGTGTTTAAATCAATGTTGATGGTTGTACATGAAAAAATCAGCCCTAATACGTTTTTTGGAGCAAAAATTAATACAAGACCCTGTCTTATATTCGGGGAAACACGGTAGGAACTATGCTAGAGCAAAAATACATATTTTTGAAATGGCCTTTATAACCATTTCCAAACGTGTATCAATTTTGAGGGTCATAATTTTAATGGTATCATTGCTTAAATCTTATTTTTTAAAAAACACTTGTCAAGGGGCCTCAAGCTCCTTCTTTGAAGCGGAACCAGCAGGAGAGAAACATAATAAATAAGAATAAATTATAGCCGTGTTTGAAAAGAAAGTCAAACTGGCTGAGCCCTCTTCCCACTTCACCGTCCCCCAAAGTCAAGTCGACACGGCACACCCAGAGAGAAAATACAGAAGCATCTTTATTTACAGGACTGGAAACACTGAAAACCAATGAACAAACAAAAATAAACCAAATGATGATAACAACAACAACAACAATAATACTGACAACGAGAGAACAACAAATACGAGCTTGATGGAGACTGGACTCCATATTGCACAATCCGAGCCCTGACTGACAACGAGAGAACGACAAATACGAACTTGATGGAGACCGGACTCCATATTGCACAATCCGAGCCCTGAGGAGAGGAAGTGGTATGGAAGTGTGTGTGTGTGTATTTATAGATATCGGAAGCAGAGAACAGAGCTTGAGAAAGTGACATATTGCACAATCCGAGCCCTGAGGAGAGGAAGTGGTATGGAAGTGTGTGTGTGTGTATGTATTTATAGATATTGGAAGCAGAGAACAGAGCTTGAGAAAGTGACCTCGGAGGGAACTACAATGCCCAGCATCCCCAGCATGGTAGGCAGGGGCTTCTGGGACTTGTAGTCCCTCTCCATGGTTCACCTTCCCAAATGCTGGCAAAGAACACCAGGCAGTTGCCACTGAAGGGATGTGTTGTTTGTGTGTATCAGTTTGTGTGTCTCTCAATTTCCCTTCTCAGTTTTTAGCCTCATTATGGACCAGGTAAATTAAAAAAAAAAAGAAGAGAGATGGCTTTTAGAACAGGTTTGGGAGCTGCCCTTCTTACGGTGCGAGAACGGGAAAGGAAGAGACCAAGCCAAGGCTGTTTCCATCTCTCGTCCCCTCCTCTCGACCATCTTCCTTACAGTTAAAGCAGAAATAGTGAAGCCGAAATCGGGGTGGAAAAGAACGGGGCGGATGTAAAAAAAAATGTTTGACAATAAATAAATTATAAAATAGCTGTCTTCATTTTTTTTTTTAAAAAAATGCTGGTTACTGAAAAAAGAAGAAGAGGTAAACCAACCTAGATGGATGTGATGATGAGGGCGAGGGATTGGAGGGCTTCCCAATTAACACCCCCCCCACAAATTTGGGATTATTTGGGGGTGAGGAACAGGGACGAAGAAGGGGACAGACAGGCACAGCGGAGGCCTCGCAACGGACGGACGGACGGACGGATGACCACACCAGCACCTTCCGGAAGGAACACCGCGCACGAGAAAAAAACAGACAAACCGTTAAGGTGGCCGGAACAAGGCAGGGTGGGTGGCGGCAACGCTGGGGGAGACAGGAGTCGAGGGGGGGGTTGCAAAGGGTGTTGCGTGCACCTGCAAAGTGCCCAGCCGGGCCTGGAAGGAGCAGCCATCAGCCACACATCCCAAACCCTGCTCCCCCCCCCGGTCCCCAAAATCCACCCTTTTCTCCTACGGCAGCCGTCCGCTTGCAGCCCCCTTCCCTTTTTTTTTTTAAATTTTTGGTGGTAGGGGAACAATCAGAGAAAGCCAGACCAGAAAACCTCTCCAGGCCTGCGGAGGTGTTCCTGATGACCCGGACTTTCTCATCCTATCGTTCCCCGCTCCTTAGGCATCGCTCAGGCGCTCCTGCCAACCGGGCGTTAGCTAATGCCCACCGGGTACCAGCCTGCCTTGGCTACCGGTTCTGTTTTGGTATTAAGCTCCAGTTGGATCTGTGATCATTCCTATGTGGTGGGAATTTCCAAGGGGGCAAGGGAGGTCATTGGGGAGAGGAAGGAGGGAGGACCGCCGATGGTCTGGGCTAGCATTCCAGGTTGGCCCCAAAGCTTTTGCGGCAGTCGATGGCTTTTGAAGAGAGAGGCTGAGCTCGCCACTGCTTCAGAGACTCCTTCCCCAGGCTGTTGGCCAGCTTCGAAAAGGCCGACTTGTATTTCTTGTCAAAGTCGGCTGAGGGAGCGAGAAAAAAAACAACAACCCAAGGTTACAACGGGTCTGAAAACCCTTGCGAGGTTCTAAAATGGCGAAACCAAATGCATGACTTTTGAGAAAGCGGCTTTGAAAAGTGGGCTGGATAAGGTGGGTTGTGGATGGATTTGTTTTTCTAAGATGCAAGAAAATATTCCAGATTTCTAAATATTTCAGGTTCTAGAGAAGGCATTGAAGGCAAAAGTCTAGAATTTGAAATTGAACATTCTGAGAAATGTAGTATGTTCTTCCCTCCACATTTAAATACAGAAATGACCAAACAACCCCACAGGAAAGCCGAGTTGCAACCATATCTTTTAGAAAGTGGTTTAATCTTGTATTCCTTCCAGTACTTGATAAATAACTCACTGCTATTACTTGCTAAGGTGTTTCAAGAGTAACTTCTTGCATGGTTCCTTACTTTTCCCGTAAAGAGGGAATTCCTTAGGATTGGCAAGACAACAGCACAAAACACAAAACATTTATGTTGAGATGGTTCTAAACAAGATCTAAGGATCTTGTTTAAAAGGATCTAAGGATCTTGCAAGACAAATGATTCGCGCGACAAAAAACTTTCAAGATGGAAAGCGTTTTGTGATTTTTTTTGGTGACTCGCAAGACAAACTTTTCTATGGCTATGCTTTGCAAGATGAATAGGAACACATTAATTAAATTTCAATGCATTCCTATGGGAAACCGTGCTTTGCAAGATGAACTTTTCACAGTACGAAACGACTTGCGGAACAAATTATTTTCGTCTTGCGAGGCATCCCTGTATTAAAAAGTAACTAGGATATGTTAGCCGTGCCAAGAGCGTAACTTCAGTCCCACTCCCTACATTACTTTGCAAATATAACTTTTCTACATCCTTTTCCAAAGAGGTGGGGGAGTAACTTGTTACAAGTAACTAAGCTAAATATAAATAGATTGCTTCCAAGATCGGTGGGCAGGCTCTTAGATGTCATGGATGCAAAGGCAGGCAAAGACTCTAAAATTGCTGGATCCCTGGAGGCCCCCCCCCTTTCCCCATGGACCAAGTCTAAAGGGAGCTTGTCACAATCCTGCTTTTCTTAACCTAATAAAGAAGGAAGAGGCCCACCCCGTGTTACTATTACCAATGTCCACGTGGTCTCTTCCCAACGCCGCCAGCTTAAGAAAGAGGATTTCCCGGTAGATGCTCCTGGAAGGAAGAGAGAATAAGCAAGATCTAGGTAACCGGGTAAGTGCCGTAAAAATGAACCCACCAGGGGCCACCTTCCAGTCTCAGATACAGCCGAAAGCCAACGGATTGTCAAAAATTATCAGGGTTTCTTAGCTGAAAGTTTATTTCTTGCTAGCAAAGTCTTAGGAGGTGTATTATTCAGCTATTTGACATATGCATCGCTGGGCGAATGGGCCGGTGACGTAGTTGTACTGGAGCTCACAAATGTGGCTCGCCAGGGTGAGAAGGCTTAAACTGGGAGCCTTTCGGCTTTAGCTAGGCCTAGCTCGGCCCAAGCTTCCTGTTCCTGCCCCAGTGCTTGCTGGGAGCTTTCTTTCTGAACAGGAAGTTAGGCCGAGCTAAGCCTCAAAACCTTCTAGTATAGGCCTTTTCTCCCAGGTGAGCCACACTGAGGTGTCTGTAAGGTGTATGTAAATCAGTCATAACTCTCGCAATGGGGAATTATGGGATCTGTAATCCAAGAATCCCCAAAATCCCATCCCTGTACATGGGTCTTTCCTCACTCAGGTAGCGGAGATAGTTTTTTAGCTAGAGACTCTGGGAGTGAGGGAAGGAAGGATTAGTGCAATGCGCCGGGGGGGGGGAGCCATACCTTTGTAGGTGTATGGGATTGGGCTGCCCCGTTACTGTGTCTAAAAAGAGAGCAATGGCCTTGTGAACCTCACCGACCCCGACGGAACTCAGCACGGCCTCCAGGAAGGACAGCGAGAAAGGGTGGTTGTGTCGGCGCCAGGACTGGAGGCGGGTTGGGATGTTACCTGGTGGGCGACGGAGAGGAGACAGGTGTGAAAAGTAAGAACAGCCCCCACCATGGATTATACCAAACGCCAACACCCTGTTATCACCCAACACAATGGGCAAAATAAAGAGAAATAAATAAAAATCTTCCAACCAACACCAGCCAGTGACTCTGATTTTCAGGGGGTGGGGGTGGTCGTAGTGAGGGTAAATCCATTCTGGTTTTAAGCGCGAACTTTAGCATGAGCTGTTTCCAGGGCGACGAACCTCATGGCCTCCCCCAAAATGGTTGAGAAACTTTCTGCAATCTCTTTTAAAGTCTAAAACCTAGCACAAATTCAGAATGCCTGCTTCTCCACTGAAACCCGACAGGATGACAAGAAGCAGATTTTAGAGAGCAGCCATTTCCAAAAATTCCAAGTTTAGAAGTGCTGTGAACCTCTTTTGGGGTTGAGCCTCTCGAAGAATACCCGTAAAGTTCGGACTAAAACTCAAAGTGGTTGAAACTGGAGACTGTGACTGCCACTGCAACAGCACCCTCCGCTCGTCTTCCCTAGCAGGTGTAAGCATGGTTTGGCGATCCTGGATCAGAATCCTCTGAGGCCAAATGCATTATCTTTTAGGGTGAAGTAAAAGCAACAGGAGAGCCGCCTCTGGTGTGAAATAAATCCCCACACTTCTGCCTTTTGATTCGTTCCCTTTTAAGCGGAAACGTAATAGGGAGCATGTTTTGTTTTAGAGGCAAATTAGACCCATCAAAGAGGAAGTCGTCTAAATAGGGAAGTTCCATTTCTAATTTTGTGACTCGTGAGAATGGAGAAGCAGCCCGTTTGATCAGTTTTTTCCCATGCGCCAACCTATTCCTCCCTTTTGGCTCTAAGGATGGCCTTCGAGAAGCGTGTATAAAGTATTCAGAAATCCCTGATTGCGCACTCACTGTGGAACCTCCAGAGTACGTAGAGCGGAGGAAAACTCTCCGGGTCAGGCATCAACACATCCCACAGCAGACGGACGCTCACCTGAGGGGCTTCCTGGGTTGTGCGCTGGAAAGGAGATTTTAAAAGAATAAGATCTCAGAGTACAGGATTAAGAAGCACAGAGGGAGGCTGGAAATGACCAAGAAGTAGGTTTAGTTTGGGTAGTTATTTTCTTTCTCAGTCTAGCCAACCTCACAGGGTTGCTGTGAGTATAAAACAAAGAACAGTAATAAAGCAGTAGAGTTGTGGAACAGAATAGCCCGACCTCACAGGGTTGCTGTGAGTATAAAGAACAGTAATAAAGCAGTAGAGTTGTGGAACAGAATAGCCCAGTGGTTTAGGGATCTGGATGTGGAGCCAGAAGTTGGGAGTTCGATTCCCCACTGGGCCTCCTTGACCGGGGCTGGACTTGATGATCTATAGGGTTCCTTCTAGTTCTCCAGATTTAATATGATGATGATAATGATAAAAAAGAAAGCATTTCTTGGACCAGCCATACTTTATAAGCCTCCTCCAGATTTAAGATGGTGATGCTAATGATTAAAAAAAGAAAGCCTTCCTTGGACCAGCCATACTTTATAAGCCTCCTTCGGATGGCTACCGTGTGGATAAAATGAGGAGGGGCATTACTGGAAGGGTCCCTCCGAGGCCAGTGACTTTCTCTTGTGAATTTCGTTGTATGTGTATATACTTACAATGACAATAAAATTATTATTATTATGGATTTGACTACCTTGCAGGGCTGCTGTGCAGAAGAGGAAAAAACAAACCAGGGAGCAAAATCTGGGAAAGTGAGGGAGGAAGGAGATGTGTTTACCTGGGGTGGTCCCTGGACATGCTTGGAAGCCAGGAGCAGCTGGGGGAGGCTGCTGGGGAGACCCAGACGCTGGAAATACCATACTAGGTTCCAGTAGATGATAGGGTGGTTGTCTACCAGTTCTGGTTGAGAGAGGAACTCCCCTCCTTCATTCTCCAGCAGCGTTTCCAGTTCCTTCCGCAGGACCAATGGGCTCAGGTAAGCAAATGCCAGTTGCTCAATGTGTGGGGCAGATGCCCGAGGGACCTGGAAGGAGAGAAAGAGGTGGTTGTGGGGAGACAGAACGAACTGTCATCTACGGAACAGGTACCATCTTGGGTTCTGAGGTGAGAAAAGACCCTTTGCTTGGACTACAATCCCCAAAATCCCCTAAGCAAGAAGGCTGAAGGCCTCCTTTCTCTGGACTTTTTTTTTGTCATCCAGAAATTCCCCAAGTTAGAAACTGAAACAATGCTTCTGATTATCCTGGTATAGGGATTCTGGGAACTGGCACCCGCTGAAAAAGTAACTTTTCCAAAAGTAACTTTCTGATGTCATGTATTGCATTGCCCTTGCTCTGCTTCAAAGTCAAATTAAGTTTCATAAATGAAAGCAAAAGTTTAAATAAAATTGGGGTCAAAACATTGGGCCCTTTGTGGAGTACAACTCCCATCATTCCTTAGGCCATGATGCTGATGGGAATTGTAGGCCAAATCATTTGGAAGAAAAGGACAAAAGTTCCCTTACCCTTTAATATTCCTCCACAGAAATGATTTAGGATTTATTTCAACGAAAGTATAGAATTTCTACATAAAGGTAGGATATATTGACACAGCCCTGTTTTCTGTAATTTTTAATTCCTCCCTATCTTATCTTTCCAGGTGACGATACAGAAAACCAGCATGTTATCCTCGAATCCATCCATACCGGTGATTCGGTGAAGCCGTTGCATAGGGACCCTGGTCTTGATTCCTGCCCAGGTTCTGGTTCGGCTTCGTCCAGGGACAAGCAGTGGTAGCGGTCACTCAGCACTGGGCCCTGCCCACCTGGGACTGGTGCCTCGCTATCTCGCGGCCACTCGGAAGAAACCGAACTAGTATCAGAACCATCAACGACACTAGACAGATGGGAAGAAAAAAAAGTTAATTCGCCTTGTTCCTGGCCAAAAGACCCAACTGTTTTGGGGTCTTCCCATTTGCGGACGTGGTTTTGTGAACATAGGGACTAGAACCTTTAACTTCATATTTTAACATATTTTCAGTCTAACTTGTTTCAATCAGTATGAGCTGATGCTGGGTCCTTGACTTGACTTAGTGTCTTGAGATGCAGAAAGGGACGGAGGGGAACTGCCCTAATTCACAGATCATCTGGGTTGCTCTGCTACTCCCAAGTAGATGGAAGGAAGTGAGCAAAGTGATAGCCTAAATTGAGATGGGGGAAGGAAGGCAGAAGTTTTTCCCACCTCTCCCACAAACCCTGGTATTAGGTCACTGGGGAAGTTCTGTAGAGTAGTAAGGAAGGTGGTAGTAAAGTCCTTGGTTCACACCTGGGAGCAACAGTCTGGAAATCTTGGATCTCAATGTTGAGGAACGGCACAAAAGAGCGCGTGCAGAACGGGCACGTCGTGTTGAGGTTTGAGTCGTCGGAGCTCCAGCCCGCCATCACCTCTTCATCGTAGACCAGCGAGTCACAGGCCTGGCACCGGGAGCAGCTGGAAAGCAGCGCCTGAACAGGACCCGGAAAGAAGGGTCAGAGTGTGGCGAAGTGGGACCGAGGATCTGTAGAAGCTTATCTGGTTATGATCTCCTCCCTCCCTCCCCCCAATAACTGCTGGTCATCTTGAGTACAAGGGAGAAAATCGCTAGAGGAACTTGTTCCTGATAATGCTCCTGAGCCTGAGCCACCTTAAAGGGTTGTTGTCCTAACAAAGTGGCAAAGAAAAGCTAGATGTAAATTCAAGGAAGGAAAGAGGGAGGAAGAGAAGAAAAAGTAGAACATGTGATGTTAAAACTTTTGAGGCACAGAAGCTAAACAATCTTCCTTCCTTCGCATCCACATTTATATAGCAGGACCTCCGTAGCTGCGAAGGAATAGGTTCCAAGCTCTGGAAACTGTGGATACTAGGAAACCCTCTATACAACATGGTCTCTGGCTTCCTCTTGTGGCTAGTTCTGGTAACAACATTATGGAAATATGTATTTCAGTTTTTTTCCTTTTAATATTATCAGACTGTGGATAGAGATCCCGCAGATACAAAGGTCCCACTGTACTCCACTTTTTCTTCATACAGATCAGGATACATGGCTCTCCTCCCCCTGCTACTTCATCATCACAACAGTCCCTTAAGGAAAATCAGGTTAGGAGACTGTGATTGGTGGTCACACTTGGTGCATTTTTTAACAGAGCAGAGATTTGAACTCATGCCACAGGCCTTCTTAACAAGATGGGGTGCAGCAACCAGAAGTACCTCAACGGCTGGAGGCTCTGACAGCCGGTCACTGGATTTGCGGAGGCTGAAGCTGCACACAGAAGTGTCGGAGAGGTCGCACTCACTGGCCAAGGACACAGAGCTCTGTGGGTGAAAAGAGGAGGAGGATGTTGTGATTTCCCAAAGCAGAACTGCAGGGGACCCTCTAGGAATGGCTGTTCTGCCCCACTTGAGCCGACCTACTTCGGAGGCGGTGGACCCTGGGCGCTCCCGAGGAAGGAGCAAGTGGGTCTCCAGCGGGCTGCGCCGAAGTTCACGCTGCTCCGAGCTGCTCCGTGCGTGCTCCACAGCAGCGGTGGTGGTCCCACCGCTGCCGCCATGTCTCAGTGAAGGCCGCTTGATGGGCGAAAGTAGCTGCTGAAGCTTGGCGGTCAGGCTCCTGCGTGGGGTGCCCCCCACACCCCGGTTTTCCGGGGCCTGCCCCAGTCCTGGGCTGGCCCCCTCCACCTGCGCTATGTTAGGCTGGGTGTCCACACTGCTCAGGGTCAGCCTGTCGCTCTCATCCGTCAAAACATTACTGACGTCAGAAAGACTCCCGTCCTCGGAGCTCCCGGGTCCTTCCCGGACACCTCGTAGCCAGGGGGGCAGAGTGGGGAGCGTGTCACTGCTTCCAGGATTGGGCCCCCCAAAGGCCTTTGTCCCTGCAACATGGAGAAGATAGTGGGTGGATTTAGAACAGGAGCACGGCTAATTTCTGTAGGGCTGGGAACTTCTGGTAAACCATCTTCCATGCCTCGGAGGGCCAGTCACATACCTCTTAAATTTCCCTGGCCTTCCATCCTGAAAACACAGTAATTTTCAAGTCAAACCTCTCCAGGGACCTTTGGCCGGTGAGAAGGAACAATATTTCCTTCCCCGAGTTCATTTGTTATACAGAAGTTGTAACTAACTATATTCGTGAGGAGAAAGAGGAGCGTGTTTCTAAGTGGGGGACATGGGCTAAACAGGGTGATACTGGTGAGGAGAAAGAGGAGGGTGTGGGGCATGGAATGGGGGACATGGGCTAAACAGGGTGATACTCAGAATGGAGGCCTCTCGCTGCCATTTGTTCAATTTATCCACATGGAATTGAACCAAAACAAAAATCTAAAACCCTTAAAAACACCTTAAAACTAAAACAGTGGCTCAACCGTCATCCTTAATGCCCAAATTATTTTGCAAACCTACTGCTTGGGAAAAGCATGTTGGATTTTACACGTTAACATTAAAATCTTTACCTCCCTGTAAGAAGATCATGCCTCGTTTTTTTTTTAAATGCCAGTCTGAAGGTAACCAGAAAACAGAAAGATTACTATCTGGGGAACAAAATCTTTGAAATTACTACGTAAATGTTTTCTCCCAGAAATAGAAGTGGTTTCTTCCTGGAACTCTGAGCATCGCTGTTTCGTATCGGAAGAAAACCTCCATCCTCTGAACTCACCATAGGATGCTCCGGTTTCTGTCTCCCGCTGAGGGAAACTGAGGCTGCCGCTCTTCACCAGAGATGTGGTGGGAAGACTCTCACTCAAGCTTCCTCCGGACCATGTGGTCTGGCGGTGGAGACCCGATCGGGAGCGGGCGCTTGCGGTCTCGCTCCCTCTGCCCTCTGCCAACACGAAACGGACCCATCGTCAACAGACAATTCAGACTAGAGAATTCAACGGGGTGGACGTTTAGCCCGTTTTAGTGATTTCCTGCCATCTTTTTCTCCCTCGTCACTAAAACAATTCTCTCCCGTCCTTCCGCTCCTAGTTCAGCGTCTCTATCCCTCTGCCCTCCTCATTCAGCTCCAAAATGTCATCACCTGGCTGCCCGCTCAACTCAAGGCCATCCTTGTGAACGCCAGCTTCTCAACATGCTGTATTTTAGACAGAACAACACACACCGGGGTTGTGTCATTCTGAGAGAGAAGGGGTATATTCCCATGCTGCTCTTCAGTTTCCCAGAGTCTCCGCGTCTGCTAAGCGGGAAGGCACCTACCTGACCGGGTGCTGATACTCTGCAATTCTGCCTCACGCTGGCGTTGGCGCAATGGTTGACGGAATTGGGCAGCCCCCAACACAACGTTGCGTAGCTTAGCCCAGCGAAGACGGCCTCCCTGGGTTGTGGACGGCCACTTGCACTCCAGAATGGCCTAGGGGGAAAAAAGGTGAAATTATAGACAATAACAGGGCTCCTTTTTCCCCTCTATTGAGTCTGTCAGAAGCAGCGTTTGCTTGCTGTTGATCCGTTCACAATTGTAAGTAAGGGAATGTGTTTATTCTTTCTCTTACAAACATCTCAGAGTACATGATTGAGACAGTAAGTGCCAGTTAATGAGAGAGAAGTGAAAATCTGGGGAACCTGAAGCTGTTCTTATCTGTGAGCCTCTGTACTTCCACTGCGTAGCAAAAATAATTTTTCCAGACATTCAAGAACTTTGCAACAAATTGTCACTACCTAGGTCCAGCTCCTAAAGCCTATTAATACTTTTCAAAACGTAGAACACACAGAGAAGTCTTGCATAGCAGCTATCTTAAGCTTCCCCCTACTAGAAACCCCATATTTATTTCCATGTGGCTTTGAAGGAGTTTTAGAATCTCATGGCCAGTATTTAAGAAAACTGTTCTGTTCTTTTGTAGCTATTTCCATTCATTTTAAAACGTCGTTTTCTATACCACCCTGGAGGTCTTGTCAAGGCTTAGAAGAACCCACAGTATTTACAAAGGCTTAAAAACACAATAAGCCTTTATAAATATTTTCACAAAGGGCAATAAACAGAGTAAAAAATAAATAAATAAATAAGAGAGAGGCGCACCTTGTTATAGTAGCCGTAGGTGATGGTATTGGGGACGATTCCGGCCCGCTTCATTTCAAGCAACACCCGCACCGAGAGGATTGGCTCCCCATACTGCCCGCACAGCTGCATCAGGATTCGGTAGCAAACCTTGGAAGGAAGGAAAGAGGGAGATGGTCAAAAGTAGGGTTGACCTCACGGATCTGCAAACAACGGCCAGAAAGGATTTTGCTCGAAGCCCTGGAGGCGGAGAGGACAAGACAGGGATTAGACGGAACAAACGCCTGATCCTATATCACGTAGCAGCCTATATTCCTATGGTCTCGAAGGACCTCCCTCTTCAGGAACTGGTGGAGGGTACGGAGTAAAAAGGGGGGCAGAATATGTGCTGGTACCTCGTCTGGCAGCACCACCTTCTTGGTCTCCATTTGCTTGAGCACCTCGTACGCCGTCTGCAGCGCCCGCACCTTAGATGGTGCCGCCCGCACGTAGGTCGGGAGCGTGATGAACCACAGGCCGTAGCAGTGCCCTAACAAACACTTCGCCCACATGTCCGGGACCGATGAATACTTTTGCGCCACCCGTTGGGCTACCTTCATCTCCTGGAAGGGAGAAGAAACAAACAAGGGAATCATTATTTTTAAAATATGTTGATGGATTTGTTTGCTATTTAATCATTCTTGCAGAAATCGGGACTCTGGGCCGCCGGGAACAGGATGATAGAACAGGTACAGAGAAAGGGAGAGAGGAGGGAAAAGTTGCAATATTAAAGCACAATTAAGGAGCTTAAAATACCAAATATATAACGCTATATATAACTGGCATCTCTGGGACTTTTAATCCAAGAATGTCTCGGGGCCCAAGGTTGGGAACCACCGGTCTTATGGACACATTTGGATCAGCAAGTTAAGAGGAAAATAATCTTTGTTGTTTAAACGGCGGAAGAGCCCAGCAGGAAAACGTCCTCATCCCCCTTTGCTCTCCAGCCGCGTCCCCAAGACATGCTGCTTTTCTTGAGATGGGTCAATGACAAGTCCCATCATCCCCATCCCCATCCCCCCCCAAATATGGATAGGAGGGACCTGTTTCCTGGTGCCGAGGCGGGATTGGGAAAACGTTGACGGAAGTGTCCCCCCCACTGTGACCTCCGCTGGGGGTGCTCTAAGCCTGCGTTACCTCTGTGGATCGCCACCCCTGTACCTGTTTGGTCCGGCGCGGGGCGGGGCTGCTGGGCGCGCTGCTCCGGGGCTGGCACAGGGAGGGCATGAGCTGGTCCTGAGGGCGCTCGAAAAGTTTGGGCTGGAGTTCCGGAAAGCTGTCATACCTGGAGGTAAGGAGCAAAGGGAGAAAGGGGTTCAAAGGCAGGCAAGTGGGATCTGCTTCCTCTTCTCCTTGCCGAGTCTGGGAAGATCAGAAAAGAGGCTGCCAAAGTGAAGTGGATTTGGAAGAGGGGCAGGATTTGACCCCTTTTAGGTTTCATCTTATAGTAATACCATGCATGGTTGGGTAACCATGTGGGGGTCTATAGAGGTGTGGTCTACCTAACCCACATGGAGGTAGACCGGGATACCAGCAGACAGCCTCTCCGTGGACAACGTCCTTGGCTTTGAGCCTTGGGTCAAGGAAGACCAGACCTCTGGAAATCTGGGGCCTGGCCAGCCAGCTCCACAGGGAGGTAGGCTGGGTGCTCAAGAAGGCAGGAAACTGACTTGCTCCTTTGAAAATAGGAATGCATCCTAGAGGTAGACCACATCCATCTATCCATATCCATCCATCCATATCCCTCCCTCCCTCCCATTCACCCACTCATCCAACCATCCATCCATCCATCCATCCAACCAACCATCCATCCATCCATCCATCCATCCATCCATCCATCCATCCATCCATCCATCCATCCATCCATCCATCCATCCATCCATCCATCCATCCATCCATCCATCCATCCATCCATAGCCCCGACCGACCGACCGACCGACCGACCGACCGACCGACCGACCGACCGTCTCTTTGCCTCAACCTTCCTCCTTCAAAGGTCCCAAGGCGGCTCACATCATTAAAAAGACGATATTCAAAGCTACAAACAGTTAGGATACAAAGATTTTAAAAAGAACCACACAAGTATATTCAAAACATTTTAAAAAAACCCACTACTTAAATTGGTAGAAATGGCTCAAGCCAACGCAGACCTGCCTCGCCTTATGGACTGATCGGCTGTTTCTGCAGAGCCTCGTGTAAAAGACTCGGGGTGGGTAGAGACTTACTGGTAACGTGGGGGCAACTCTGTGCCATTGGGTCCAGTTGGCTCCTCGGGGGGCATGATAAAAACAGTGTGTTCACTGCCGTGCGTGTCATCCAGTTCAATTAAGGCCAATTCTTCCGGCTTTTCTAAGTCTACCTGGACCTGAATTGGCAGACAAAACAACAACAGATTTTTCAAGTCATTAAGTCAGGATTTCTCCCAGCAAAAAAAGCTGAATAATACTTGGAAGACCTATAGGGGTGCAATTCGTTATCTGGGTGCCAGCGGATTCTCTAATTCAATAGCGCCTTATGTGAGGACACAACAGAGGCAGCTTGAGAACATCCTTCAGGATGACTTTCCTACAGGGAAAAATAAAATTGGATCATGGTCCAGAGCCTCCAGCAAAGAAAAGCAGGGACTTCTCGGTGGTGGCACACCGAAGAGTTTAGGAAGCAATGCTTTGCTCAGCCACTAGGGGGGACCGCAGGCAATTCACTTCCTGCATTTCAGCCACGCCCCCCTCCGTCGCCTACTGACCCTCCTTACCTTCTCAACGCAAGAGTCGAAGAACTCCAGGAAGGTATGGCGGTCGCTGACGAAGGAGCATTCCTCGATGAACTGGGTGAAGAGCTGCGTGCGCAGCAGCTGCCCGTAGAATTTGTGGTACGCTCGGTCCCGGGACTTTAGAAAGCCTGGGGCAGAGCCAAAGAGGGGAATTAGCAGGGGTTCCCCATACCCTGGAGACCAGCCTAGCCAAGGGGATCACGTTTTTGATTCCTCCTCTTCCTCTTTGGGTTTAAGTACTTAAGAAAGAACCTCAGGTTTGCTAAGCATCACAAAGGCTTTCATCATCCCACCTTTGGGGTGAGGCAGAGCTCCAGCCTTGTGTCATGGTTAGAGCAATCACCCCTGAACTCCAGAGGGCTAATGGGGTAAGGCAGCCGCCCCTTCTGGGTGTTGTCAGCCTGCTGCAGCATCTGGGGAGACTGGTTTGGCAACCAACAGCTTGGGAGCAGGACTGGAGAGAGCCAGGATCCAACCACCACCCAACCATGAAGCTATGCGCTGGCTTTAAGACATTTCCTCTCTCTCCCCTCCAGCCTGTTCTGCAGGGTCGTTGTGAAGACAACAGGTCGGGGAAGGAACCACGGAAAGGATAACAAGGGTCGGCCGGCCGTACCTTGCAGGTAGAAGAGGCTGCTGGAGTCGTGGGTCTTCTCGGAGGGCGCCTGGGTGATGGGCAAGAGGTAGCCGCGGTAGCCTTTCAAGAGGCAGGCCATGAAGCGCAGGAAGGCTCCCTGGATCTCCAGCTCCAGCTGCTTTCGCCGCCCGTAGATGAGGTCATAATCCGTCAGGAGAAACTCCAGAGTGGCTTCCTCGACGGGACGGTTGTACACTAGAAACGAGCGCAGGGTTATCGGAGGGTTGGGTTACGTGCGCGAGACCAGCGGGGACGGCCAAGGAGGATGGGAGTTGTAGTCCAACACCTCTGGAGAGACCGAGGGGCATCTTCTCGATGCCACAAGGAAGAAACTCCGAACCCTCTCCAAGGACCCCTCGTCTGAACTCTCTGCGGCTTCCCCAAATCCATACGGAAAAGTACGCCCGTGGGCGCCTAGTCCTCTTTACTTACTCTCGTCCAGCTGCTGATACAGGGAGTGCAGAGACGCCAGCAGGACCTTGCAGGGTTTCCGGGGCAGGGCGCGCGTCGACAGCAGCTTCCGTTCCTCGCACCTGTGCGCAGAGCAAAACTGCCCGTACGGTTAGTGCCTCCTGCTTCCGCGTCCGGACGACGTGGCCCTTGGCCCGCGCCCCGCCTGCAAACCTGACCCCCTTCCCCCGTAGGGCAAAAAAGGCTCAGCTCCATCCCTCACCATCCCGCACAGCGAGGGGGGCCACGAGAGAGGAGGAGTTCCTGCAGGGGTGGGGAGGAATGAGCGGATGCCCCCTCTCAGCCTGTCCACTGGTGGCACTCACTGGAAAATGGTGTTGGTGTCCAGGTCGACGCAGATGACGTCATGAGGCGGATCATGGAGGTCAAAGTAGCTGGAGTGGATGCCCACGATGAAGGGCACGGGGGCGCACAGCACGTCGGCCAGGGTGAGCGGACAGAGGGGAATATATGGACACTGCCAGCGCAGCGGGAAAATCATCTGTCCCCATATAATTCAGAAAAGAGAGCGCCAGGTCAGATAGACTGCAGCAAGCTAAGAAAAGATAAGCCTTATGGATAGTGGAGAACCGCCCTCCCGAACCCAGGGCCTCTCCAGGTGTTTGGGATTACAACCTCCATCATCCTTGGCCAGAGTCTAACGATGTCATAGTCAATAAGATCCATAAGGCTGTTTCAGAAATCTCTTTGCTTCTCTCCATGTTCCCAAAATGGGCTTTCATGGAGAAAACAGCCTTGGAAAAAAAACGATGCACCTCCTCTTACAGAGAAAGGGTAATCATTTTTAGCCCAGACTTCTTCCTCCCTCTGAACACAGACAGATCTTCCTCCTCTTTAAGGCATTTCTAACCCCTGCCTAAACTCTATTAATTAAATCAGTCCATAATTAAAATGGTGGGTCATGATCACATCCAGTGGCCATGAGTTCCACATGGTCCATTAGGGCTGTCAACAGGATGGCTCGGGTTGATCTCTTCCTGTAGAATGGCAGAGTGGAAAGGGACCTTACGGATCAGTACTCTTTCCAGCGGTCCCGTGCCCGGAGGGCGCCCGACAAGAACTCACAGAAACTAAGGCTTCGCCCACGCTGGTCAAGACGTCCTGCCGTAAGGAGTGGATGAGCAACTTCTGTTCGGTCAGCACGGCCACGAGGAGGGCGAGAACGTTTTCGGGACCCAGGGTCTGCAGCAGGGTGAGGAAGCTGGCGCCACTGTAGGAGGGCGGGCAGAAGGACAAATTGAGCGCCGTTCGAACTGGCGACTTGGAAGTCAACTCGTTCCAAGCCTTCCCGTTTCCCGTAACTAGTGACTTCTAAGTTAGCGTGATCGGCCAGGCGACATACCTTAGTGGCAAAGGAGACGAAACAGGCTGGTACAGGAGTAAGTTATCGTAGGAAGACATCTGGTTAAAAACGGAGACAAACGGAGGGCGTTACGTCTGAAGAGCCAACCCCACAGCCCAAGAAAACACATGCTAAGAAAGAGCCTCCAGTTTTTGAAAGAAAGCTCCCAGGATGCACCAGGGCAGGAAGCAGCAGCTCAGGTAGCGCTCGGCCTAGCTCGGCCCAAACTTCCTGTTCCTGCCCCAGGGCGAGCTGGGAGCTTTCTTTCGGAACAGGAAGCTAGGCCGAGCGAGGCCTAGTTCAGCCTCCAAGGCCATTCTCCCAGGCGAGCCACACTGAGGTGTTGGTCTGCCAGGGCCCAGAAGAGAGAATTATGGGCTTTGTTATCCAAAAATCCCATCCTTCACAGTCCCTCTTAGGGAGAGTGCCTGTCGTAGGACTGCCACAACCGATCCAAAGGAACGTTTAGAGCGGAGGTTTAACTCTCTATTTCTGAGCACCAAAATGGACATAAACCAAAAATTGATGGATTCACCCAGAGCAACCCCAAAAAAGCTCGGCTCGGCCGCCGCTACTGACCTGCACCAGGATCCGAGGCCGCTGTGGAGACGGGAAGGGGACATTGTGCATGAAATGAGAGACGTGTCTGGAAGAAGCGACAAGGAAGTCACAGGAGAAGAAGAGCTGAACCCCCCCGACACCCCAGCAGTTCAGCCGAGCTTCTCTTAAAAGTCAAAGCCACAAGACGTAGCGGAAAAGTTGGCAACCCTAAACAGGACCAGCGGATCTACAGAGTACGCTCATTCTTCAGCTCTGTCTAGAATATGTTGTTGTTGTTTCAACTGTGTACATACTCTGTCTTTTCCCATCAGGGTGCACAAAAATGGGTTAAGGAGGATACAATAGGAGCCCCCTATCCGCGGGATCGGTATCCGCAATCTCATCTATTCGCAGTCTGAAAATATTACAACTATAAATAGTTTTAAAAAAGAGAAAAAAAAAACAGAAATACATATTTCCATGATCTAGTTACCAGAACTGGCCACTAGAGGGAGCAAGAAACCACACTATGTGGTTTGCAATTATCCTTGGTTTCAACACATGGGGGGGGGGCACTTGGAACCGCTCCTCTGCATATATGGGGGTCCTATTACATTTAAAATACATCACTCAGATTCAGAATGTGAACAACTGCTGCAGTGTTTCATTTTTGGTTGAAACTGAGCCTGGACTTGAGATCTCCCCTCCAGCGCGAGACTGAGATTTATGGGCTTTGTTATCCAAAAATCCCATCCTTCACAGTCCTCACCCCAGTGGCTCCCTTTTAGGGAGAGTGCCTGTTGTAGGACTGTCACAACCGATCCAAAGGAACGTTTAGAGCGGAGGTTTAACTCTCTATTTCTCAGCACCAAAATGGACATAAACCAAAAATTGATGGATTCACCCAGAGCAACCCTAAAAAGCTCGGCTCGGCCGCCGCTACTGACCTGCACCAGGATCCGAGGCCGCTGCGGAGACGGGAAGGGGACATTGTGCATGAAGTGAGAGACGTGTCTGGAAGAAGCGACAAGGAAGTCACAGGAGAAGAAGAGCTGAACCCCCCCGACACCCCAGCAGTTCAGCCGAGCTTCTCTTAAAAGTCAAAGCCACAAGACGTAGCGGAAAAGTTGGCAACCCTAAACAGGACCAGCGGATCTACAGAGTACGCTCATTCTTCAGCTCTGTCTAGAATATGTTGTTGTTGTTGTTTCAACTGTGTACATACTCTGTCTTTGCCCATCAGGGTGCACAAAAATGGCTTAAGGAGGATACAATAGGAGCCCCCTATCCACGGGATCGGTATCCGCAATCTCATCTATTTGCAGTCTGAAAATATTACAACTATTTTTTTAAAAAAGAGGGGAAAAAACCCAGAAATACATATTTCCATGATCTAGTTCCAGAACTGGACACTATGTCTAGGGTTTGCTGTTATCCGTGGTTCTCAACACCTGCCGGGGGGGGGTCTTGGAACCGCTCCTCCGCATATACGGGGGTCCTACTGCATTTAAAAAACATCATCCAGATTCAGAATGGCAACAACTGGTGCAGTGTTTCATTTTTGGTTGAAAGCGGTGACCCTGGACGACCAAAACCAAGCCCTGACTCGAGATCTCCCCTCCAGCGCGAGACTGAGATGCCAAACTCTTATTACATTTAAAATACATCACTCAGATTCAGAATGTGAACAACTGCTGCAGTGTTTCATTTTTGGTTGAAACTGAGCCTGGACTTGAGATCTCCCCTCCAGCGCGAGACTGAGATGCCAAACTCTACTGTCCAGGGTGATGGCTCTCAGAGATTTGAGCAACCCATCCAGGGCTTCTATTTTTTTCACAGCCTAAGCAAGGAGGCAGCAACTAAATCATTTTCAATTTCCCACATTTACAGAAATGCGCTTAAAAAAACCTCGGGTTTCCTAAACGCCCGAATTCATTCTAACCCAAACAAATATCTCGCCATCTCCATGGTGAGTGGATTTTTTTTTGCCCTGCTCTCCTCTAGCACACGAGAGGGAAGAGGCCATGCTTTACACCCCAAAATTAAAGGAAATAAAAGCAAAGCGCTGCCATCTTCCGACAGAGGAGCAACAAAGGATGGATTCGAACCCAGACCCAACTTACACTTCAATGGGCAACACGTGAGGCCCCGAGACGCTGTAGCGGTAAAGGAAGGTCAGGAACTTGCGGAAGACGTCAAAAAAGGGCCAGTGCGACAAGACGCAGATGCTCTTCCGTGTCTGGACCGTCTTGCTGGTGATGGGTCGGCGGTCGACGACGGTGAAGAGGCCCAGCTTCATACACTGGCGTTCCGAGAGGCGTTCCCGGGGGTAGGACTCATAAAACTGGATGGCGGCCCCATACACCTGAGAGGGAAGGAAGACCCACATCAGCTTTGATGAGGACAAGAGAAAAAGCAACATCGGCTCGCCTGGGGCGAGCAAGAAATGACTCCAGGCGACCAGACAGGGAATTTACGGGAAATCGGAAGAACGACGGTAAAAAAATTTTTTTTTAAATGTGCAGGGGGGAAAAAATCCAAGAAAAAAATCTAGAAATATCTCACAAGGTGGACTACAACTCCCATCATGCCTTTCCAGGGCACACGCTAGCCTGAGCTTCGAAGAGAAGGAAGCGCCAGACTTGAGGAGGGCCAAATCTTCCACCGACTGAATCACCATGCAATAACAATGCATAAAGTGTTTGGAAGTGTTACGAATGCTTCATAATTACAGCCACAACTGTAATTTGGATAATAATATGATAAACGTTAGCGAGCTGGTCATAATTTAAATGCTGACGTGTCCGGGGGGGTCATTCGTTCAAATCCTGAAGGGCTGCTGAGAAAAAGGAGCAGAAAGGCCCATTTCTAAAGTGGCCAAGTCCTATAAAATGGTACGGCCCTCTTTCCCAACGCTGGTTTCTGGCCCAGCCAAAGGTCTCCCTGTGTTACAATCACAACACCTTGTCGCCTGAAGCGCCGGTCAACACAAAGGTGGAGAAAACGGGAAGCTGGTACTTCGTGTCGGCCGGCCAGCTCTCGATGGTGGCCCCCATGGGCAGGCAGAAAACGGGGACAGATTCAGGCAACGGGAAAGCCTCGTTGTCTTCCTCCGGGTAACGGCTGAGGAGACCTGGGGAGGGCGAGAAGAACCCACCTCAAAATAGATCAGGAAAGGAACACAGAACATGTCTACCGATCCTGCTCAGAGCTTGCCGCTTTTCGGATCACGTGGTTTCTGCCCTGCTGATCGATGCTTTCTCAAATCCCAGCCTAGACTACTGTATCAGGCTCTACGTGGGGCTGCCCTCAGAGACGCTCCAGAAATGGCAGCAAACTCGTTCCGAGGCCCCGGCCAAATCAGCTGTCTTTTGCAGGCAAAGGCCTCTTAAACAGCTGTAAACCGGAAAAAACCCACAGCGCATGAGAGTGTCGTTTGCCCCCCTGAAAAGCGTCTGCCTTTTCTCGCTCCGGCAGCAACGTACCTGCTTCGTACACCAGCGTGTTCCCTTTCGCCAGCGCCATCTTGTAGCAGATATAGAGAGCCGGACCCCACTGGGGATGAAAGAAAGAGGAGTGAGAGAAAAAGAGAGCCATTGCCCCAAACCACAGAAGCACAGAACCACGTCAACTGCCTCAGGCTGGATTGGATGGTCCTCCTTGTTATCCTGTTACGTACTTCCTACTGTTATCCTGTTACGTACTTCCAACTTCTTACGATGACCCTATGAATCAAAAACAACCCAATACAGCCCTGTTTCTAACCATCTGCTCCAGTCTTGCAGGCGAGATGCGGTCCCCTTTCCTCTCGCGTCCCGGCGCTTACCATTCCGGCGTTGAGGTTCCGGTCCACCCGGCAGAAGGTGTGCGGCGTGCTCTCCCCTTTGCTCGGCATGATCAGGCAAATGTCGGTGATGCCCAGCGTGCTTTGAGCCTGGCCCTCGCTGGCCCGTCGGTACGCCAGGAAGGTCCGCTGGTGCCCGGGTACGCCGGAGGCCAGGTTCGCCGAGTGGCTGTACGGGGTTGTGTCCAGGATCTTGTAACCCGGCTTTGGGCGGTCCTTGCCTTCGTAGTGCACCCTGGGCGAAAGGCCAACCGAGCGAGGACGTCAAGACTTGTAATTTCTAGGGGTGTCTTTCCCCGAAAATACCACCCCTCCCACCGGCTCTTCACAGACATTGCTTCTTCGGGTTGCCCTGCCGAGGGAGGGAGGGAGGGAGGAAGGAGATGAAAATACCACCCCTCCCACCGGCTCTCCACAGGCATTGCTTCTTCGGATTGCCCTGCTGAGGGAGGGAGGGAGGGAGGGAGGAAGGAGAGGATGATGGAGAAAGGAAAGAAGATGATGATGGATGAAGGAAGGAAGGAAGGAGCTGATGATGGATGGATGGATGGATGGATGGATGGATGGATGGATGGATGGATGGATGGATGGATGGATGGATGGATGGATGGATGGATGGAAGGAGGAAGGAATGAAGGAGCTGATGATGGATAGAAAGAAGGAAGGAAGGAAGGAAGGAAATAGAAGGGAGGGAGGGAGGGGAGGATGATGGACAAAGGAAGGAAGGAAGATGGATGGATGGATAGGACTCTAGAAGTTTCAAGGTGACAATTGTGTTTGTTTTTAATCTGAATTTGCCGTGACCTGTCTTGAATGCTTTTGGGAGGGGTGGAAAGAGAAATGCAATAAATCAATCAAACAAATAAGTGCCAATGTTGCATTTTTAGGGGGGCAGAAGGAGGGTTTGAAAAGGTAATAAACAAACAGAACAAATGAGAAGAGAAACAAAATTCGCCCCTCTTTGCACCGGCCATGGGCTACGTTGTAGGCGACTGCCGTGTAAGTGTCAAAGATGAGAAAGCTTTCAGGGAAAAAAAGGTGGCAAACCCTATTTATAACCAATGTGGTTAAATATGCAAGAATGCAAATATAGCTCTGAATAGAGGCATGCACTGACAGTGTTGGGGAGCAAATGAGAAGAGAAACAAAATTCGCCCCTCTTTGCACCGGCCATGGGCTACGTTGTAGGCGACTGCCGTGTAAGTGTCAAAGATGAGAAAGCTTTCAGGGAAAAAAAGGTGGCAAACCCTATTTATAACCAATGTGGTTAAATATGCAAGAATGCAAATATAGCTCTGAATAGAGGCATGCACTGACAGTGTTGGGAAGAGATGGATAATTCAGCTTCTATTCTTCCGTTTTTCGAAAATCTCCGAATACAGACAAATCTGCACAATTATGGGTTTTTTTTTGGGGGGGGTAGGATTGGGGTAATTTAAATTGACGGTTTAACTGCTTTGGAACGGTGCATGCCACTAAACCGGATGGTATAAAAATATCTGAACAAATAAATTTGAATAGATAAATTGCGAAGATGTTGCAAATACAAAGAAAACGGACGAATTTTAGTAAATTTCTCTCCTGACGAAACAGAAACCAAATATTCTCCCATGTGAAATGTTAAATAATATCCTTTGCTTTAGGACCCCTTTCCTCTTTTTTTGGGGAGGGGGGAGTCATGACTCTTAAAAACTGATAAGGTTTTATCACAGAAGAGAGGTCATCCGGATAAAGAGAGGCAGTGGGGTCCAACGGTTAGAGTGTCAGGCCGGGATCCGGGTTCAGGTTCCTATAGAGGTGAAACTTTGGAAAGAGGGAATCCAGGACGGTCAGGAGCCTGGTGTTGGGTTTTGAGAGGCAGGAGCGTCAATAGTTAGAGCTTTGGGCAAGGGGGAACAAGACCCAGGTTCAAATGACCACTGAGCCACGAAACCTGGCGTTAGGCCGCTTTTAGGCCACCCTCGCAGGGCTGTGGTTATGAACGGAGGAGAGGGAGAGCCGCCCACCTTGTCTTGAGCACACAGGATAAACAGGGAAGTAGAAAAATGAGACATTTTTTAAAAAGAAAAGACATTCAATGGCCTCTTCTCTCTCAGCCTGCCCCCCCACCGTTGGCACGTACCCTAGTTCGACAATGGGCGGCTTGTCTCGTCCTCGCCGGTAGCAGATGAACATCTGGGGGTTGTTGAGCAGCCCGGCGTTCAGCTCCACTGGATGTCCCGTCGTGGTGCGGTCGATACAGGTGTAACCGTGGGGGACGTCCTCGTTCTGGGAGCGGACGATGACGGCCAGGTCCACGATGGGCTCGCCGGGCCGGGCCGGGCGCGGGGAGGCCTGGCTCTCATCCTCCAGAGGCTTGGACGTGTCCGCCAAGCCGGCCACCACGAAGTAGTCCACCAGCTGCGGGGCCCAATCCTCCGCCATGGCGGTGGTGGCGGCGGCGGTTCACGGCATCTGTGGCGGACACAGGGGAGGAGTTGAAGCCCCACCGCGAGCGGTCTCGGTAGGGCGGAGCGGTTGCCCGAGGAGCCCCGCCTCCCAGTGAGATTCTGGCCAATGGGAGCGCAGGGAGCGCCACGCGGAATGTTCGCGTGTAGAGCGAACGAGCTGCGAACGAGAGAGAGAGAGAGAAAAAGAGAGAGAGAGAGAGAGAGGTTGTTTCTTTCTCCTCATGCCCGGAGCAGGGCAGGAAGTCACCCGATGAGACCAACCAGCAAGACAGACAGGACGGGCAAGATGTCTGAATCGCATCAGACCGTGAGTCATTGAACCGGCGGAACTCCCTGCCACAAGATGTGGCAGCAAATAGCTGGCTTGGCCCGTCTCAAGGGGTGCTTGGGAGTTGTAGTCCACCGTGTCCAGAAGGAAGGTGATTTGGTGACACTGACTTCTTCTCTTTCTCTTCTCTTCCTATGCACACACACCACACCCCCCTAAGGACGAAATGACTTTGGGAAATCAAATTATACTTGGACACCGACTCCCATCACCCAGCCCCTCTAGGAATAATGGGGACTGGATCCCCTAAAATTTTGAAAGGACGGGCTTCTCTGTTCTTTGCTTTATCCTTTCCCTGCAGGAATGTGTTGGCAGAGGTTGAAAAATATATGGGACCAAAAAGATCTCTGAACTACACAGTGGGGGAAAACAACTGAGCAACCTATAGAGCAGAATTAGCTTCCCATCCCCCCCCTTCCATAGTTGGCTACCTCTTATTGTTTTGGTTGATCTCAACCAGCACTTATTATCCCATGAACTCACTCATCGACACTGTTAAGGGAAAAGAATTTTTCAAAAGCTTCTATTTACTCACAGTTCTTCCTAGATCAAAACAAAGGTCGAAGCCAATCCACACCTCTTAAAGGCAACATACATGGGTGCTTTCTAGCTATAAATAAATCTGTGGGTCTCCAAACCAGAAAAGGGAAGGAAGTATCAAAAGTGGGTGTGGGGTGACAGCGAGAGAGAGAAAGAGAGAGAAATCTATGCTTCTGCTGATCTTGCAGAAGGCAGAGCCAAAAGAGGGTGTGGGGTGACAGAGAGAGAGAGAGAAAGAGAGAGAAATCATGCTTCTGCTGATCTTGCAGAAGGCAGAGAAGATCAGGAGAAAAGAAAGGAAGTGATTGTTCCTGTGTTCAGAGAGAAAAATTTAAAAAAAACCCATAGAGTTCCCGGAGAAGTGACCTTTCCCTGAATTGCCCCATAGAACACTTCAGGTTTTCGTGGCCGAAATCCATCCCATTTATTTCATTTTCAGATTTGCTGATCGAAGTTCAATAAATGAGCAAAGAAACACAGAGAGGAAAAGGACAGGACTGGGCCAGAAACCCTGAAGACTTGTTTCAACACAGCACAAAAATAATCGTTTATTGATGGTCGGAAAAGAGGATGAAAAACGTACCAGCTAAACAGCACCAACAGAATCTTTCCTTCTTTATATACTACTTTTCTGCTTGCAAAGATTTGCTTTTGACTTGACTTCTGCCTTCCCTTATAGGCTGCTTTTTTACTTGCAGCAACTCCGTTTCATTTGCTGTCCGCCTCCCTTATATGCTGTTTTTCCATTTGCAGGGAATTACTTTGCACCTGAGTTTTACCTTCCTTATAGGCTACTTTTCTGCTTGCAGGGAATTGCTTTTCCTTTGAGAACAACTCCAAAGCAGACTTGCCCCTATTGGCTACCACACTACATGTCTTCCCTATCACTACTACATCTTTCTGCTGTGCTCCACCACTGAACAGACGCACCCTAACGAATAGCTACCGCTAGACGAGAAATAGGTACCTCTGCACTTCCTGCTGTAACCACAGCGCCGTGGCTGACTTGGACAGCTTCTGATCACATCATTCTGGACTTTTTACACCCCGAATTGTCGGGGTCTGGAGTTTTCTTAGGTTAGAAGAATTCCCCTCTACCTCTCCTTAAGGCTATGAAAGTGCAATTAAATTCACGAGGCTCTGATCGCCCATCACTGCAATGTGGTAAGAATCAGACTCCACACGGCTGCCTCAATGAGAACTAGCCTCTTACCCTCCCAGCTCCAAGCAAACAATTCCTAGCTCTAGGAAAGAAGCAGTTAGACACAACACAACGGTGTAAAATGAGCTCCCTGTTTGGTTACATGGATGCCACTAAATTGCATTTTTAAAACTCTATTTCCAAGCAGGGAAGTTAACTCTAAGGCCTGGGTTTATTTGTTTAGATACACATAATGTGTAACATTTCCCTCAGTTTCTTGAGGAAATTTGTTCAAAATATGTGTTTTCCGCTTCTTAGGCCTCAACTATTTTATTTCCTTCATCTAAATCCTTTGCTATTGGAGGCCGGACATCGTTAGATCTCGTTAGCAGCAGAAATGAAACGAAAAGAAGTTAATAATGCAATAAGTTACTCTAGATGGTGGCGATCTGAGGTCCAGCAGTCCAGGAAGAACATTCCTAAGATCTACAAATTACAAAATAAAGTAACTTCCCTGCCTTATTTTCTTGTGAAGAACATAACGTATGGAAGCAACACGGGCTTGGCTCACAAAAGAGAGGGATGCGCAGCGGGGGGGAAATGAGGATGAGCGTCTCTCTTTGCAGAAAAAGAGATGGCATTAAAGAAGACGAAAATTTGAATTTTCCCCGAACGCTCCTTCCTGCTTCTCCCAAAAAAAGAGGCCCCGATTTGCGCGGTCGCCATGGTTACGGAGCAAATAAGGCCGGGATGGATAGATTGAGAGCAACTTAAGTGATGCTGCAATGAGGGGTGGGGTGTAGAGGGGGAAAAACGGAGAAACCCATTCCCATAGCAAACTGGCTGACACTTCACACTGGTGGGGCCGGACGAAAGCCCCTCCGAGTGGCCCTAATGTTCTCCGAACCTCGATAAAAATCCAGATGCGGGTGGTGCTAGGACTCACCCTCTTTAGAGTTTCGCTTTAGGTTGGATTTTTAAAATTATTATTATTGTAAGCTCCCGGGGTGGGGGCAGAGAGCTGGCTTCGGGCTTCCCACAACCCCCCCTGAGATATTATATCAGCAAATGCCCAGAATTGGTGGACACGAGGAAAACCGCGTCATTCGAGGCGGCTCGTCGGTGTTTGAAGAGCCGCCGGTTGTGCGCTCGTCGGGCGCACAGCCGGGAAAGCAACCTACGCGTCAATCATGAACAGCCCGTTTTTGGGCTGAGACCGGACACATCTTTAGTAGATTTTCACCGTTCTACTTCTTCTCCTTCATCTGGAGAAGATCATCTGGGACTGAATGTCTAAGTCATTGTCAGGAAGCTAGGGAGGGAGAGAAGAAGGGAGATGAGCCCCCCTTCCAAGCTTGGCGTCCTTCCTTTCCTGCCCTCCAGGACAGATCTTTGTCCTTCCCAGATCTCCTTCCCAGACCCTTTGCTCCCCTCCGGCTCCCGTCGGAAAGTGCCACCTTACTATTTTTAGCGTTGGCACTTAACATGTTCAAAGCGCTTCCACCTCCCCATCGTTGGTCACCTGGAAAGAACCGCAGGCGTCCTAAGGCTGCCTTCCCTTCCCTCTCGGTAGGCACTCCCGGGGTAAAAGACGGAAAAAAAAATACACACACACCCCCAAAATATCCATCGGGGTTCAACGAGGGTCGGGTAAGGCCTTTGGCTGGATGGGAGAACCTTCCTCGGGAGAAAAATAAATATAAGAGAGATCTCACGTCTGCTGGACAAGCAGCCTGCCAGATAAGGTTGGTTTCCATGCAGGGGAATGACGTGGGACTCCGAGGCCCAGGATCCTCCTTAGGGGAAATGATCATGGGTGAGGGATGATGGGTTTGTAGCATCATACCAGAATGTCCAAGGTTTCCCATTAAAAGCAATGCACGCATGGATGTATTTTTAATTTAACGTTTGCTAGAGGTAAGCAGTCCTGTGGGTTCCGAGACTTCAGAGCCGAGAATTCTGGGTTCTGTAGTCCAAAACACATGGGTTCCCTGAGACTTCAGAGCCGAGAATTCTTGGGGAATTCTGGGTTCTGTAGTCCAAAACACACACATACATACACAAATCTGCCCCCCTCTAAAATCCCCCTGTCTCCTTTTGATGTGTAACTATGCAATAGCCACTTGGTGTGGTCTCTACTCCCCTCTCATCACCCCGAAAGTATAGCAGATGAGACATTATGGAAGCAGGACCTCAAAAAGTAACTTTCCCAATAAGCTGGGAAGCTAATTAGCTTCCTGGGAAGCTAATTCAGTGCCTTTTGCCCTGCCCTGCCCTCCTCCTGAATACGCTCCTTTCTCGCTCTGATTCTAATCGATATCCTCAAATGTTTGCTTAAGATAAAACAGCTCCTTGGCTCTCCTGCCGAAACTGAAAACGTTCGTAACCTGAACTCGGTGTCCAGCGGCACAGCCATCCGGTTGCGCCTCCAAACGAACACAGAAATGGTCATTTTCTGGTTAGAGCCAAACCAGGAAAGAATCGGGCGGCGCCATAAAGGCTTCTCAGGGTGTCTCGCGTAGCGTGCCGGAGGCATTCGAAATCAACAAAGGAGGATCAGAATCCGTTCTCGATCCTCCCGGAGTGCTGGACATGTCGTCATGGGCTCAAGTTTACAGGAAGCCAGATTGAGGCTGAATCTCAGGAAAAAGGTCTTAACGGTTAGAAGAGTACGACAACGGAAACCATGACCTCGGGAGGGGGGTTGAGCGCTCCAGCGCTGGAGGCCGTCGAGAGAAAACTGGACCACTGCCTGTCTGATCTGCTTTGATTTGGATCCGCAGGGGGTTGGACTTAATGGCCTTCCAGGCCCCTTCCAACCTCCACGATTCTATCAACCCTCTCGTTACGACAAATGGACACACGCAACACGACGTGGAAATAGTAAATTCTCTATTCCTAACGGCCTATTTGTGTTCGGTGTGAATTTGCCAGCCAGTCCCCTCTTACGAGGGCTCCGTTACATTTCCAAACTTTTTAGGGTGTCTCTCGATGTGTTGCTTTTCCAAATTAACATTTTTGGGGGGAGGGGGGGAAAAACCTAGCAAATTCCGTCCTCAATGGATTATTTTCAGGATATTGCTGAAATATCCTCCCCCCTGCTAGATTTTTACAAATATTGCTCCCTCTTGCATGCCCCGATGTTGCTCATTTTCCTTGGGCTACTTCACCAGCCGTACTCAACTCATCTGAGTTCCCTGATAAGGGGACACATGGGTCTGGCGTCCGACCCTTCCTCATAGGGGCCCAGTTTATGGCCTCCTTTACCTGCACAACGACCCTGCTAGGCGGACCAATGGCAAGAAGCTGACGCAGATTCACTCTAGAAGTCTAAAATGTCGCGGCGCGTTAAAGACAAAACTGCTATATTTGGACGCAAGAGACTCTGTGGTCAAGTCAAGAGACTCGTGTCGTTATAATATATCACAGAAATGCAGCGCTGGATCTCTCTGGATCATCGCGTCTAGCCCCTGTCAAGGAAGCACAGCGCGCGGGGAGGATTTGAACTCACAACCACTGCAGCCAGATCCTTAAACCCCTGAGTTCTTCAGCAGTTCTTCTCGATCTAGAACCTCCATGGCTCAGCAAGGGAATATTCACCCATTCACTCTTTCTGAATTTACAGCACCCAGCGCTGATGTTTCAGCCTTCAAAACGCCACTCGGGTCAACCGAGGCTGCCCCGAATACACGACAAGAATCCCCCACATCGTGAAGAAGGCGGCGATTTATTTATGGGGCCAGTGCGTGCCCAGACCTCCCGGCTTTCAGGGCAGCCGATCAACCCACGGATTGCGCATGCAGGAAAACACATGCGCGGGTTACAAACCATTTCATGCCTGGCCACGGCCATCGCCCGCAACTCACGAAATTACCTCCACAGCTTACGGAAGGAAAGGCTCTCGAGCAGGATGGGCTTCTCGTGGCAAGTTCGGGACAAGACCCCTGCCGTACCCCCCAAAGTTTGGGGGAAGGCAAGGAGGCTGTACAGCCAGCTAGCCGCCCGCGGTGCTGGGTTTCCTTGAGACGGGGAGGGCCCACGCTTCCTTCCGAGCCCAGCAGGCTGAAAAGCGACACTTCCTCTCTGGGGTGTCAAGAGAGGGCAGAGAAAGCAAGCAAGTCAAAAAGCAGAAACTCCCTGCGGAGGGAAGTGGGACCGCTAGAGAGGGGGGCAACACCCCTGCAAAAGTGAAAAAAAGGAAGCGGGGGGACGTCAACGCTGTCATCCTTTAAGAGTGACGCTCAATTTCCTTCTGGTTGGGTGAAGCAAGGGAAAATATTCTGGCCGGCTCCATGACAGAAAGTGGGTTAGCTTCTCTGTCTGAGTTAAGGCATGTGTTCCTGGCCTACATTTCCCATCAGCCCTTGGGCTGGTCGGAAGGAATGCTGGGAGAGGAAACCTCAAACACCTGGAAGGACCACAGTGGCTCAACCCTGCTCCAAAGATACCTCCACCTGGCTTCAAAATGATCAGCTCCAGAGATGTCCATTTCCACATCAGGGAAGGGGCGGGAACGTTGGGCAGGGGCATTTCTGGGGGAAAATACCCCGAATCTAACACACTGGGCATGAGGCCCTCTTCTCGTTTCTGCTCTTCCCTCCTGCTTTCAGGCGGCAGGAAAGTGCTGGTCAGAAACCAGGGGTGCACCTGGTTTAAAAAGGGGAAGGGCAGGTTTCAAGGAGGAAGCCAGCAGCAGTATTTCAGTGAGATGGCGGCAGCGGTGGGATTCCCCCCCACCAGGTGCCTAGGAGGTTGGGTGGAAGGGACATATCCTGGGGACAACACCTGGCCCTCATGTTAGCAAAGAAGCAAAACCTCGCTTCCTTCATAACATTTATTTGAGACTCACCAGGAAGATACGCAACGGGACCAGAAGTTTGCTGGGTTTTCAAGGCCCTGTAGTTTGTTTCCCTAACACAGTTGGGACTACATTTCCCATTGTTCCTGGCCTAGGGGTGATGGGACTCTGAATCCAACTCTGACTCCATCCATCCATCAGCCAGTTCTCCAGCTTTCCTCTCAACCGAGCCTAGCCTGGCGACCACGAAGGCCCTGATCCTTAACACCAGAAGCCACATCTATGTATAACTTTTCTAACTTTTAGACTAATAGAAAAAAGGAGTCTGAGTTCACCCTTGAATGAGTGAGCTAGATAAAATCCTTTGTCTAGGCTTTCTAAAACAAGCTAACAAACCCAAACCACAAATAACCCCAAACACTCGCCTGGGTTGAACATGAGACTCGCCTCTAGGCGACCACACAGCCAAGTTTTCTATTTCCTACCAAGTTGCAGGTAAATTATATTGTGTGTATGTATTTTTTTTAAAAAAAACTGCTTGTTTCCAGAAATATCCCTCTGCTTCAGAGTCTAAAACAATTTTGGAGATAGCAAAGGAAAATAAAATAAAAAAAAAAACCCACACCAACCTCACTTGACAGACTTCTGAACATTTTCCAACCGGATGCAAACTGTAACCATGTATTTGATAAACAAGATTCTAGGAGATAAAACCAAGGAAAAATTGAAACTGTATCATCTGCACAAAACTTGTTTTATTGTTCTCGTACCCTGATTATGTTTACATTAATTAATCTGTTACTTCCCTGAGCCTAAAACAAAGCAATCCGGTGCTACATTTTCCCCCCTGCAAACCTGTATGGGTTGCAAAACTGAGTTTGCAAAACCTTCTGCCCAGAAAAAACGAGACCACACTTCCCAGCTGTCTGGGGCTCCAGGTTTTGCAAAGAAATGGTGCATTCGAAGAACAGCCCTCCAGCCCTCCAGCCCTCCTGGCCACAGCGTGCTGGGATTTGTAGTCTGCAGAAACCACTCTCGGAAGGACGAAGCCCGGGCTAACCCACCTCCTGGTTTGGGATTCTCTGTCATAAGATCCGCACAAATGCCAGACCACCAAAGAAATACACGAGGGCCAAAAAAAGGGGGAGGACAGAGTGTGTGTTGAGAGAGCCATGCGCCCGCTCGAGCCATAAATTGCGGTGCAACCTGTTCCTTACAGAGACGTGGGGAACAGATGGGATGTCGATAATCTGGTATCAGACAGTGAAATGACCCCAGTCGGGAAAGCAATACACGGTGTGGTGGGTGGGAGGGAAGAGGGCTTTAGGAACGGGCTCCGAGCCCTATCAAGGGGGCAGTGGGGCAGGAAGGGGGGCAGAGATCGGGGGGGGGGCCTCTGAGTGTTTTGACATTAGGAAGTTGGAAGTTGTGGCAAGCAGGGGGGATTTCCGAGTTTTAAATCCCAAAGGTGGGACGCAGGCAGAGATAGTTCTGTTTTTATTTTTTCAAGTATGAGAAGGGAAATAAGAATTGACCCACAGCCTGGAGGGCAGGTTCGGTTCTGCCCCCCCTCCTTTGGGCACCTCTGCCCTCCCTCGGCCACTTTCTCCCTGTTTCCGGATAAAATTTGTGGGTCTTGGAGAAGGGTGTGAGGAGCCCCGGACGCTCCTCCAGGGGTGGGCGGACTCCGGATCCCATCTGCCCCTGGTGATGGAAAGGGATGGGATTGGAGGGGGCTGTGTCTCAAGAACCTCGGCCTCTTCCTGACGGAGAGGACCCTGGACTACAGGTCCCATCAGCCACAAATGCCAACCCAACCACAGGGAGCCGCAGGGATTCCCTCTCCCATGGGGAGAGGATGATGGGGGGGGGAGAGTGGGGGAATAAAATAAAATAACCACAAGGATCACCTTTAACCCTCCCCTTTCGAAAGAATAATAAAAATCTCTAGATTTAGACCAAGGGAAAGGGATAAATGGGTGAATCGAAATTTCGACACTGGGGGTGGCAGCTAGGGACGTGGGGGGCTAGGAAGCCAGAGAAGAGTCGGGGGGGGGGAAATTAGAGTTATCAGAATTTTTTTTCTTTTGGAAAGTGGGGGACAGAAAGCCCAAAGCTAGAACTTGAAAGCAAAGGCAATACCTAGAAGCTAGAGTAATGGAGTTTGTATGGTGCAAGCAGTAAAATATTTTAGTCTACGGGGGGAGGCCGACCGGGCTCAATGCATGCCGATAGAGCTCCCCCTCGCAATCCCCACCAAAAGCAGAAATTCACCCCCCAAAAAAGCAGAATTAGGCTGGGAGGGAGCTAATTAAAAGGCAGGAGGGCTGGGGGAACGCTGAAAAGCTCCCTTTGCAGAACCAGCCTGGAGGGGGAAAAAAAAGGGGGGGTTGTATTCCCAAACGCAGCCCCCCCCAAAATCTGGGTCTCCAGGAGGCAGTGGGGTGCAAAGGGGGGGTTGCAAAAGGAGGGGTGTATAGGACTGCTCCCCAAAATTGTGGGTCGGGGGGAAAGGGAGGGAAGGGGGGCCGTTGGGGGGGGAATATGCAAAATGCAGAAAGGGATGCATGCAAAAAAAGGGCTAACCTGGTCCAGATGTGCAGGCAGCTGTTTGCTCCGCGGTTAACCTGCAACCCACGCCATAGCTTGGCCCCGGCCGGGCTCAGCTGGTGCTGTTGCTCCCTCCCAGTCCCCCCCCGGCTCCAGAGGCGGCCACAGCGCCCCCTGATGGAGCGGAGGACTGATTTCACTTCTTCTTTTTTTTGCTCTCCACCTCCCCGGATCACAAGGAGTTCATGAATTTTTTTGGGGGGGGGGAAGAAAAATTAGGGAAATGCAAAAACCCAGAAAAAAAGGGCAGGAGGAGGAACGGGACTGGTTCTGTCCTTCCCAGGAGCGGCCGCCGCCGGGTGCGAAGGATTGTGGGTGTTGTAGTCCAGGGGAAAAAAATAAGAATTAAAAGGACAAGGGAGAAAGTTCCTTTTGGCTTTGAGTTCCCCGTCTTTGCTCCGCAGCGCCCCTAGAGGCCGGCCGAGGGGTGGCACTCGTGGGTCCAAACCCGGGAGCAAGAAAACATCCAGATGTGGACGGACTCCATCGCCCATCCTCCACTAGAGCAGGGGTCCCCCAACCTTGAGCCTCCAGATGTTCTTGGACTTCAACGCCCAGAAATCCTGGCCAGCAGAGGGAGTGGTGAAGGCTTCTGGGAGCTGTAGTCCAAGAACATCTGGAGGCCCAAGGTTGGGGACCACTGGTCTATAGGCAACCTGGCCGAGGATGATGGGAGTTGTGGCCCGGCAAGGTCTAGGTTTCCTGGTTCCCCATCCAGGGGCAACTCCCAGAAGCCTTTTGACGCCTGTGGTGCATCTTTCTATGCAGAGTTTCTCTATTGATTCATTTTGGAGATGAACATCCTTTTTAGGCATTTTGGGAGAGTGTAGAAACATTGTCGATGGGGGGGGAATTAAAAGGCCCATAATCCCCTGAGGGTTATGGGTGGTGTAGTCCAGGCCTTTGTAAACCCTGCAACGTTTGCTCTCCCATCATCCCCATCCCTTCCTTCGTTACGCGAGAGATCGACGGATCTAAAACCTTGGCTTTGTTAGAAAAAAAAAGTTTGTTTTAATCCAGTGGTTCTTAACCTTTGTTACTCGGATGTTTTTGAACTGCACCTCCCAGAAACCCCAGCCAGCACAGTTGGTGGTGAAGGCTTCTGGGAGTTGCAGTCCAAAACTCCTGAGTAACCCAAGGTTAAGAACCAGCCGCCCAGAGTAGACGTTGTTGCTTTTGATTGGTTTTATGCTATTTTAGCCACCCAGAGTAGATGTTGTTGCTTTTGATTGGTTTTATGCTATTTCTATTGTAAAGCACCCAGAGTAGACGTTGTCTAATTGGGCAGGGTATAAATAAATGAATGAATGAATGAATGAATGAGCGAGCGAGCGAGCGAGCGAGCGAACGAACGAAACGAACGAACGAACGAACGAACGAACGAACGAACGAACGAACGAACGAACGAACAAACAAACAAACAAACAAACAAACAAACAAACAAATAAATAAATAAATAAATAAATAAATAAATAAAGCCCTCCGGGTGTTTCAGGCCATCGGCCCAGGAGACGAGAAGTCAAGGATGGAGACCACCAGCTCTCCCCGGAAAAAAACAATAAAAGCTGCCGGCTTTAATTTTTTTGAAAAACCATAGCAGGCCTGTTGGCGATCCCACATTAGGGAGGCCCTCGACTCGCTGGTTTGCCAAACCTCAGAGGGGCTTCGGCAGCGCAGGATCGTAGTAAAGCTGCTGCGGGTCCATGGAGCTTCCACAGAGCAGGGCAGTCTACCACGGATGTACATCAGGGCCAATAATAAGGGAAGGCTCATTCCTTGCTCAAGTTTGCAGTTTTCGACATGCTGGGGGTTTCCTGTTCAGGATCGTTCAAGAGCTCCCCCATCCGACGCCAGACTAGCCATGAGGATGATGATTTTTTTAAAGCCTCTGGCAAGAAAGGGAGGTTTGCAGAAAGAGCAAGCATAGGGTTTAGATGGGTATCAATTTCTAAATTTCCGGGATTTAATGAACCAAAACAGGACTGGAGATCTGGAAAAAAAAAGTTTGAAAGGAAATGCACTTTGCACATGCTCAGTTCTGCTGGGTCCTTCTTCCCCTTTTCTCTAGCCCCCATCACAATAGTCTGTTCTTTGGCCCAAACCTTAGTAGGAGTGCGGTTTCAACACTGTCCATTTTTATTGCATTCTCTCGGCAGCAAAATTGAGAGCCAGACCTTTATGTATTTATGAGAGTCACGTAGTTTTACAGCTGAAGAGCTTGGCTCGGATCCAGAAATAGCATATTTTTTGGGTGGTGGTGGTGGTGATTTTTGAGAATCAAACCAGTTTCTCCCCCCCCCAAAAAAAGTTCCTGCAGGAGGATTTTAGCCTGTGTTGGGGCGCCACCTAGTGGTGTGATGAAGGAACACACCTGATCCTTGAAAGCTGGAAAACTAGGTTAAACTTTTGGGTTCCGAAACCAGAAAGTTTCAACACCCAAATTGATTGGTTCTACATAGTTAAGCAGACAGGAAGCAGGCAGATGTAACTTGCTCTGTGTAAATGTATTTAAGAGAGCAAGATTACGGGATCAACCAGTTCCTTGGGTCCGTTTCAGTGTGTCCAGAATGCTTGGTTTTGACCTTCTGCAGCCTATTTTTCTTACAAATAAATAAATAAAAAATTCAATTTTTCTTTTTAAAAAATCCAGGCTTTGCAAACTGCACGCAGCAGGCCCCAGAGGGCCACTGAAAGGAAGGCTGGGGGAAAGCATGAGGAATTTATACCCCAAAAAACCCAGGGAAAGTTGCAGTAAGTCTGCAGAACACAATGAGTTAATTTAGAGCGCCCCTCGCTGGCCACAACTGAACCATGCAACCTGTTTCTTTCCTTTTCCTGGGGCACCCTCTGCTGGTTGCTTTCGAGCATTGCGGCGTGGCTGACCCTGGATTTTCTGTAAAGTCCTTTTTATCACACAGCACCCCCCACCCGGTGTGTCTGAGCCCATCGCCGGTTGGTTTTTGATCTGAGGGCTCAAGCCTTCCCTGGTTTTCTTTGCTGGCACAAATCCTTCTGTGCACCCTGCGTGTGAGAATCTGCCTAGCCGTGCTGTCGTGCGCTGGTCACCCGCCAATAATTGTTGAAGGAGTTCCCAACTTCCGTTATGACCCCTTTCTGCTTTCTCTTGCATTGTCCCACCTCCCCTGCATGCATGTGGGCATCTGTCTGTGGGGTTTGCAGGTTGTACATCTGACGAGATCTGCTCCAGTCCAGGAAATGCGATCTAGGCAGCTGACGCTGTAAAAATCAACAATGGAAGAGCGGATCTTTTGTAAAGCCAACCGCTCTTAATTGTCCACCCAAGATCAAACAACCCCTGTAAATTGATCTATAACAGACCTATCAAAGACAAATCGAGGTCAGCCACAAGTTCACCATCACGGTTCATGTGGACTTTGTGGTTTTATTTTTTTTGGCCAGTGATTCTATCAAAATGAGACAAGGAGGATATTTGGGGATATTGGTGGGAAATAAAATTTATTGCTTTCATCGTGACTCGCAGAGTAGAGGCAAACAATTCACACTGGTGGCTTTTCTAAAGAGCTATTTTAAGGGTGAATCCTCGTGACATCGAATCAGAACCACGGAGAATGGATAAGGATGGAGGTGCTATCAAAAGGTCAGTGGGAACCCTCAGAGGTAGGATGGGCTCAATGCCTTTGACCCAACGCCTTTGGCCATCTCAGTGGCTGTGACCGTGGCCGTGGCCATCATCGTGGCTGTGACCGTGGCCATGGCCATGTTCATGTCCATGGGACCGGTTGTGGGCATCTATAAGGGCGCCGGCCACCACAACTATAACCTCCGTGAATTTCAGCTTGCCGTTGTGGTCCCTGTCCGCTTTTTTAAAGAGCTGGTCGATGTAAGCGTCCTGGCTAACACCATCCTGTGGAAAGAAAGGAGGAAAAAGAAAAAGTAGATTAGAAAAAGGATACAGGCTGGAACAGGCTGGATGCAACAGAATAGCAAGGATTTCTCACTGGGGATCCTTGACGTACCTAGAACCCCGAGCATCAAAAAGATGCTTCGTTGGACTAAAACTTCTGGAACTACCCCTTAAGCCCAGAAAGTTATTTTCTCCCAATTTTGTGTTAGAACCCTCCACTTGCTAAGCTCCACTTAGTTGCGTTAGAACCTTGTTCTTGGAAGACACAGAACAGAGAGCTCAAGGAACCAATAAGTGCAAAATTCTTGAGGTACCTAGAACAGATGTTCAGTTCTTCTAATACATTAAAAACCCTAGTTCATGGCTGGAGGAACCCATCCTTGTGGCCTCAAACTTAGCCCTCTTAGGACTTGAAAACTCTGGATGAATGGAATCATGACACATAGCATGCAAATCTACTTAGGGTGGGCCTCAAGGCCCCCTTGGTGTTTATAAAATTGAGCACAAAATGCAGAACTTTACCGCCCTGAAAGGTTAGGCTGGAGAATATACGAGATAGGTCAGTCTCTGCATCGGTTCCTTGCCTGTGGAATTCCCACCCAGGAAACCAATATGGTTGCAAGCCCCCAAATCAAAATTTTGTCAATTCCAATGGCTCAAGGCTTCAAAATTGGCATTCAAAATGGGTTTTTCTCCTCCCAAATGCATTTCTGGTGAACATTTTGCACGTCTCTTTCACTGAACATTGCTTTGGGACCAATCAGTGATCTTAACAAATGAAAAAAAAATGTGGAGATTAACTTGATCTAAACTTAGTCCTTCTCCCACCTCAGCATCCTCCGTCCATGACCTCGACCACCTAATCTTCTTCCATCCTGGACTCAACTTTGACCTAGACCCATGGCTGGCTATGACTTTCCAACCTCCCCACAAACCACTCACAGGTGTGGTGTCCCTCAAGAATGGCTGAGCTTGTTCCTTCAGCATCTTCTTGAACTCTTCAGGCTGTAGGTAATCATCAGGATGTTTTCCAAAGCAGTACTGGTGGAAGATGTTGACCACGCATTCTAGACCTTGCTCCATAAGAGTTTTCATCTTGCCAAATTTGGGAGGAGCTGAAACGAGGATAGAGAAGTTTAAGGCGAGTGTCTACGCTTCCCGGCGATAGACGTCTGATACGACTTTAACCACTAAGTCTCTCTGGAACTACAGATCCCATGGGATGGTGCTATGACATATAAAACAGGATCAAACCACTCTAACTGTGTAGTGCAGAGGCACTATCTAAGAAACAGCTGAGAAAATATATACATATGCTTCATACCCATGTTGAGAGATTAAATATTAGCCAAAGGTTCTTAAGCCATTACCAAATGTGAAATATTATGATAACAAATAAAGTCCATGGTTCGTATCTCATTACTCTATGTTGTTTCTGCTGTTGTTTTTATATCCTGGGGTTCCCTTACAGAACAAGGCTTCAGAAGAAAAGAACTGTATACCAGCCAGGGGACTTGAATCATCACACACCAGAATTTGAGTCTAACAACCACCACTGTCTCTTTACGTTAGAACTCTGTAGAAATGCTTTGCCTTATAGTCTCTGCTTTCTCACCCTGATACGGACTTGTTCTACGGAAGATCACAATAAAATATAGCACTTAGTATTCAAGGTGACCCCAATGCCTATGTCCTTAATTTTTTTCCCCTTTTGTTTTATGTTTCTTATTGCTAAGCTTGCACACGGCTGCCCTTTACAGCAGTCTAAGAAGAAAGAGATCAAGGAGAAACAAAGAGAAAGTTTTGCTTCCTGATCAATCCAGGGAAAGAGGTTATTTCTGTGCTTGTCCTCTGAGTTAAGAACAAACTCACAGCCAAACAGATTTGATACTCATTGTGCCTAGCTAGCTTTGCCCCACCAGGAACCCTGGGTTTCTCCAGCTCTGGATGGAGGCAAAGGTTGTAAGCGGTCCGGGTTTCAGTCCGCACTCTGGATGCAGACAAATAGACCACACGGGAACGTGGAGAATATCTGGCTGCTGGCTTCAGAAAGGGGCACCGGATTGAAAAACAACAACCCCCCACCAACTCAGCTGGGGAAGACACAGGCATGAGCCCGCTCTGTGGGGAAGAAGGTGGGGGTCCCAGCAAAATAAAGAAGAAGCTTATGGTTGAAAGAAAGAAAGAAAGAAAGAAAGAAAGAAAGAAAGAAAGAAAGAAAGAAAGAAAGAAAGAAAGAAAGAAAGAAAGAAAGAAAGAAAGAAAGAAAGAAAGAAAGAAAAGAGCATAATGATGAATGAAAGACAGAAAGAGAGAAAGAGAGGAAGAAAGAACAAATAAATCAAGCAGTTTCTTTTCTTAACACAACTGAGTAGGTTCAGGTCTAGATTTTGCCGTCCCCTACGTTTTGGTGGCCTGAGGCAAACCCCCTTTCAAGACAGCCCCTTAGAAAAAAGAACGATCCACTCCACTTTGAATATCCCCCTTCCTTTGCAACCGGCAAACATCTTTCCGAGGCAGACCCGTGGGCTTTGTGGGGGGAGCTGCTTTTCTGGAGCCCCAGAGAAGGGGCCGCACTCACCCGAAAGTTTCCAGAGGCTTGGCAGGACGTAGACAGAGAAGCGGAGAGTTGGATGCTCGTGGCCAAGACCGGCCAGGCTTTTATACCCCTCTCGGCGTCTCTTCCTTGCATGGAGGTGTTTCTATTGCTCCTTCCCCTGCCCTCTTCGAAGATCTTCACCTTGTGCAACGCCGGACACACCCTGGTGACAAAATCTCGGATGCAAAGTAGATCCTCTCTGGGGGAAAAAAAAATTAAAAAGGAACCATCCAGGAAGTATAACTAGGGGCGAATGAAGAGATGCCACTGTTTTCCCCCAACGCCCACATGCTTTACATTAAAGTCTAATCCTCTTTTCTTTTTTAATTATTTAATTTCGTTGCATGACAGCAGAGGTTTCGCAACCCAACCAAGAAACGACAGCCCTGGGTCCCAATTTTGGGGGGCCATGATTTACGGGAGGGTGGAAGGGGCGCGGAAATCTATTTATAGCCACATTTGACATGTGCGGAGTCGTAAGACGGCTGGTTCAACACCTACCATAACCCGATTGGAAAAAAAATGTACACACAACACACAGAAATGTGCCTTTATAATTGCACCTCGTGTTGTATGCCTAATCTATGTGGCTTGAACACAAGTCCCCTAATATACATTTTTTTTTGGTATACAGTGTTGGCGAAGTTATATCTGCCCATGCGAAACACCTTCTGATTATTCAGGGAACGATACAAGTTTTTCCTGTATCCCAAATTTTGAGCTGAGTTTTATGGAATCGTGTATGCTGTGGAAAGAAGGGTACACAGGTTTTTTTTCACCAGAGGAGGCTTCGGTTTTGCAATATCCCTGTCTCTTTCATGCTTTTATGGGAGTACCTGCATTAGATCTTTCCCTATACTGTACAATGCAAATGCAGCCACCTGAAACCAAACCCTCGAAAAACACAAGTCTGTGTTTCAGAACAGAAAAGCAGAGGGGAAGCGCTGAGTTAGCTTGAAAGGCAAGATTTTGGAAAGTTGCTCTGCTACGCCATAGCAGAAGATGCTAGTGCCGTATGGCACAAAGGAGCACGTGCCAAACAAGTGGATGTAGCTATTAATGTAGGATTGATACTGGCTCTGATACAACACGCTGATCCAAAGAAGGGCAGACAGAAAGAAAGATGAAGGAAAGATGGAAGGAAGGAGATGATGATGGACAGAAGGAAGGGAGGATGATGGATAGAAGGAAGAAATGAAGGAGATGATGATTGATAGAAGGAGATGATGATGATGATGGATAGAAGGAAGGAAAGAGCTGATGAAAGAAGGAAGGAAGGGAGGGAGGAAGGAAGGAAGGAGATGATGAGGATGATGATGATAATGGATAGAAGGAAGGAAGGAGTAGGAGTTGATGAGAGGATGATGGATAGAAGGAAGGAAGGAGTTGATGGATAGAAGGAGAGGATGATGGAGAGAAGGAAGGAGATGATGATGGATAGAAGGAAGGATGGAAGGAAGGAAGGATTACTGTCATCCTTCATTTGTGAACCTTTGTTTCAATGTCTTTCTCTTTCTGCTAACAGCAAAAAAATAAAATAAATTAAAGATGGCAGGATGGAAGGTCACATCAAAGATACTTCTCGAAGCATCCTCCAAGTCATTGGAGATCAAGGTTGGTTGGACAAAGCCACTCGTCCTAATTTAATAATAGTGGTTCAAGTTGCTGAACCTTACCCTCAAAATTGGGTTCAAGAGCTTCTTCAAAGTGCGGACTAAAACCCGGAAGGGATTTCCCGGCCCCGCTGGGGCTGCGGGGTAGTAGCATGCACATTCAAGACAGGAGGTCTTGGAAGTGCTGAGTGCCATTCATGCCAAAAAAAGCACAGCCCTTCACAAAGCCCCTTCAAATCTTTGCACTCGAACGGGGGCGGACTGACCCTTTCGGGGCCCCCCACCTGCCATCACGGGTCAGGCGCTCTGACAGGAGAATGAAGAAAAGGTGGAAGTAGATCGAGGAAAAGCCACTGAATTTCAGGACCAGGATTTCCATAACTGGCTTGGCCAAGGAACCCGTTTTTCTACCCTTTGCACCATCGGGATCGGGCACGTAGCTGGATGATGATGGAGCAACTGGGTGTCTGATTCCCCGAAATGCTGAAGGCAGTGCATTGTTATCCGGCACAGCCCAACCAGGCCTTTGGTATGAGTTATATCAGCAATGACTCAAGGGGCAGGAGATGGATTCCCTTCTTTTTCCTCCTTTGCGGCTTCGTTCTTTCACTCTTCCTATAATAAGTCGACCCACAGCATTCCCAGTGATTTTCTCAAACTGGTGTCACCGTGGAAGAATGGGCCCTTTGTCATGTCTCTAGGAACACGGAAACTGGCAGGCAGAGCATCACAACAACTTTGAAGATGTTCCTTTTCTGGACTGGCCCAGCCAGGGCTGACGACTCCGGTTTCAGAGGTGCTGTGAGTCCAGGCCGGACTTTCTTTGGCGCCTCATAGGAGTTCTCCAAAGGGCTGGTTTTGGAGAGAGGGAACTAGACTTTTGTTTGGCTCCTGCAAACCGCAAGCTAAAGCCCGGTGCGGATGTGCGGCCCCTCTGAAACTGGAGTTGCCGGCTGGGTTTTGATCCCAGCATTTACGAACGGTCAGGAAATGAGACGCAGCAATTCAGAGATCCGAACCTCCAGAGACAAATCCAGGAAGAGAAGCTGTCCGATTACTTCTCTAGCTAGAAAGCTTGGGGGGGGGGGGAAGGAAACATGGAAATGTCTTTCCTTAGCCATAAAACCAACTAAAATATTGAGTGCTGGTCCACCACCAAGCAGCCCAGGGAAGAACCTGTCCGTGTCGTCTTTGGAACCCAACACCTTCCCATGTTGCTCCAACACCCCCATCACATTGAAAATAAACTCCATGTTTTCGGGACACACCTACCATCATGTTAGAAAAATTGAATCGCTATCAAGGCAATGAAACCAGCAGGTTTCGTTACTCGAGTTGCAACCAAGTCGTGAAGACGCTCGTAGAGTTTCTCAACGGCCAGTTGCAAATTCGAGAGCACCTCTCTTCGAAAGGCCCCATCGAACTTCTCCTTCTGTGGTTCGGGTCTGTGGCTTCCGTTCTTGAAACCCTTGTTTTTCGGGAGCTCCGTTGCGGCGCTTCCTCTTTCTGATTCCGAGCCGAGTCAACTGTTGTTGTTGTTGTTGCTCAAGGGCCAACCGACACCCCGCCTCACTTTTGCAAGCTTCGAGATCAACAAGGTTAAGGGTGTTTTTAGAACTGGTGGTTTAGACCTTTGGCCGTGGAGCCAGAGATTGGGCGGTTCAACCCCCCCACTGAGCCTTCTTGACGGGGGGCTGGACTCTATGACCTATGGGGTCCCTTCCGGCTCAGCTGTTCTAAAATTATGATTAATGTTTGGCGATGGAGTTTTTTAAAAAATTATGTTCTACATTGAAAACCGCCCTGCGTAGTGGCATGCCACTAGATAGGCGGGCATGCAATCAATACACGAATAACCAAAACCAGGTTTGTCTAATTGTATTTGATGGCAGCACAGCCGATATGTCCTTATGGAGGAATATCCGGTCGATTTATTATTTGGGATCCCAACTTGGGTCTCCTCGATAGCCTTCTCCAAGAGGCCAATGGTTATCTCCAAGTTGCTGGGTTTGGACGGGTGTGGCCATTGTTGTATTTCAATCACACTTGGTTAGAGGTTATCAAATCGCCATGCTTTGGCTTCCCTTCCCTTCATTGGGATTGACTTCCCTCGCAGAAAGGTTCTTAAACACAGCTTTCAAGTATGTCGTCTTAAATTTCTAAGCCTTCTGATTTTAGGAGGGCGGCAATATCATATGACAGTCTATCTGTTTGCTTACTGGTGTGTGTGTGTGTGCTTAAATGTCATTTCCCTCCTACTTTACAGCTGGAAAAGGCCCAAGTTTTACCCCCTGACCTCACTTTCTTAGTTAACCAGCTTTTACAGCTCAGTGGTTTAGATCTTGGGCTGTGGAGCCAGAAGTTGGGAGTTTGATTCCCTCACAGTGCCTCCTTGAGAGGGGCTGGACTTGATGATCTAGAAGATCCCTTCTTGCTCTGTAGTTCTAAGATTAAGGGGGAAACAGAGTATACTGTATCTCTTTGCTGCATATTTATCCCCTCAAGAGAGTGGAAGAGTTTTGACTCAGTGGCAGAAATCCTGTTCAGATGGAGGTAATGCAGAATTACATGGCAGTCCATGACTGTGTGGCTGGTGTTGTGGTTGGGCGATCAGTTGTGCGGTCCATGGCCCGGTTGTGCAGTTGACTGCATGGTGTTTGCCGGAGACTGTTGTACGTTCTTGGTGGATACCACTTCCATCCTCCTACTACTTCTGCCCTACCACTTCTGGGCTGTTGCACTAGATGTGTGTCATTGGGAAACTGGGTTTCAGCCAGTGGGTCTTCTAAACGAAGGATGACCACTGTCTAAGAAGGCCAAGCATCTCCTTGAGTGATGAGGTGGAGAAGGTGGGGAGAACTTCTTAAATCAAAGATGGGAAGCGTGCCACCTCCAAACCCTTTTTGATGAATCCATGAAGTTTCAAAAGAATCATTTTCAGCAATCAACTCAACTCAAATCAAGGCAAGCCAAGCCAAATCATAGTAAATCAAATCAAATCAAATCAAGGATTGTCATTCCTGGAATTCTTTGGGGGAGAAACAATTATCTAAAACAGGGTGCAGTCCAACAGTACCCCCAACTCTTACAAACAGTTTGACTTTAAAAAAATGAGATTTTTAAAAAACAGAACTAGAAGTCTGAGTAATTTCCCAGGTTTTTGGGGAGTGGGGGGTGGACGGGGTGGACTGGTGTTCCAGCCTCCTCCAATAAACGGTCCCCTTGGCACGATATAAGTTTTCTTCACTTCCATTAAATCGGGAAGGATTTATAGAATCACAGAATCGTGGAGCTGGAAGGGGCCTCTGAGGCCATCAAGACCAACCCCTTGTTCAAGGCAGGAAGCCAAGTCAAGACAGACCTGACAGATGGTGGTCTGATTTTCTCTTGAATGCCTCCAGTGCTGGAGCACTCACTACCTCCCAAAGTCATTGGTTCCAGTATTGTACAGCTCTAACAGTTGAGAAGTTTTTCCTGATATACAGCCTAAATCTGTCTTCTCATAGCTTGAGCCCAATCTTACATGTCCTGTGCTCTGTGATGATCAAGAACAGATTCTGTCCTTCCTCTGTAGGATTCCCTTTCAAGTCTTTGAAAAGTGCTATCCTATCTCCCCTCGGTCTTCTTTTCTCAAGGCTAAACAGGGCCAGTTCTTTCCATCTTTCCTTGGAGGGTTTGATATCATGTTGCTCCGACATTTTCCTGGCTCTTCTCTAATTTGGACACAACGAGCCTCCCCAACGCCCAACTTTCGAACAAGAGACAGGAAAGGCGATCCAAGGAGGCCAGGATTTGAATCCTGCAGACCAAAGACGCGGGCAAAGCATTGTGTGTAATTTTGGGGAGAAGAGAGCGTGCCAGTCTGGGTTACACAGAAGGCACTGATGCCCAACGGGCAAGGAAGGAAGGGCCAACCGAGCCGTGACAGCTGTCCGCCCTCAACTGATGAATAAAAGAAGTTGCTGATGTTGTAAACCTGCAGATCCAGGAGGGTAGACTGGTGCCAGCTTGCTGAAGGGGGGGGGTGTGAAGGAAGAGGAGGATTGGTAAGATGATGGAGCGGGACGACAGCCTGCTGTCTACGGTCACCTCCTTAAATCAAATTATGGAAGGTTTTCAAAACTACACTCGGGAGCCAAAATAATTAAAGGAGATGAGGAGTGGAGTTCTCAAGTCATAGCTGGTGTGGTAGACAAACACTGGGCCACCCTCTCTAGACAAACACAACACCCCCCCACACAATCTGAACAGCTGTTGTGAAATATAGCCCATGTTCTGGAGGAGGCCGTCAAAAGGGCACAAGACACCTCCCAGCAGGTTCATCCCTCAATGCTGGTGGCCTTCGTTGATTTTTGTGGTGCCGAGAAGACTGGTAGATTTTATTCCGGCACAGGTTGGCCACCTGAAGTTCATGCCTGGGGGGTAGGTACCATCTCAAGAAGTGTGGGCCATTAAATAAAACCAGGTGGGCTTCCGGGAGCCACGCGTGTCGTGGTGGCTACCACCTCAAGAGACCAACACGGTTAATCCCTCAGAGAAAAGTTTTCCTTCCTCGTGGAATCCTTTGCGACCCCACATTATTGCTCTTAGAGTTACAACAACATCTGGTTGCACAACCAGCTGTGCTGTAAGAGGCCTCGAGCCATTTCTGGAAAGAAGCGTTGAGCCCTTGTAACAAGACTTCCACTTTACGACACCTCTCACCGCAGTTTTTTTATTTGCATCACTCCACCTGTGGACATGCTGTTCTGGTGAAGAACAGGGAAGGGCAAAAATCTCTGCCCCAAGAGGCATACAATCTTGAAATCCAAGGATATCAAGAAGGTGCCACGGATCACAAGAAGCGTGACCGAAGGGGAAACAATTCTGAGGGAACTGGTCTTCCACACCTGTGAGGAACAGTTGAGGATCTGGGAGAGTTTTGTCTGGAGAGGAGAAGGCAGAGAGATGTCACGATGGACATCTTCAAATATTCAAAGGCCTTGTTTGCTGACCATAGAATCATAGAATAAAGGAGTGGGACAAGGTCTCTAAGACCATCGAGTCCAACTCCCTGCTCAATGCAGGAACCCAAATTAAAGCAGATCTCAAAAACTGTTGTCCCATTTTCTCAAATTTCTCCAGTGTTGGCGTGTTCCCAAGATCATGGGTTCCATCATCATACTGCTCTAACAGTTAAGAACTTTTCCCCTACTGCAGAAGACATTCACAAGTCCTGTAAAGATGCAGCCATCAACCTGTCCTAGATAGGACCACCACTGATGATGACACTCTGCTTATCAATAGGGCTGACCCTTCTTCTTCTCTCTGATCTAAACTTTACAGGCGGTGGGAAGAGAAGAAAAAGGCAACACAGATCTGTTCTTCTGGATCTGGTTCATTCTTTCCTCTGGTGTCCGCTGGGTGGTTCGGACTCTTTCCATGGGGGAAACTGAGTTAGCCTTTTCCAACCTACCAATGACTCCTCCAAGCTCTTAGAAAGACCCACCAAAGCCCTCCAGAACATTGGCTCTTTCTCAAAAGGGTCACTGAGTTCTGACCACCTTTTCGGAGATGAGGCACCAGGTAGAAACCCTTCCCCGGTCTTTTCCTGATTTCCCATTAGTACAGCTTTGCCAACAAAACCATGCCTCGCCCAGCAAATCTCATTCATCAGCGTTCATCGAACCTCGCTTTCCAAGCCTCGTCATCAAGCCAGCCAGCTATTCCGTGTCATGGGTTTCAAATCAGAATTGCAAAACATTTACTAGAAGTGCAATGAGTTGCAGGATTTTTCCCCCTGTTGAGCTCACTGCCTCGCTTTGCTTAAGATATTATTTGCCCATGGGAGGTCATGAAAGCAAAGCCTTTGACGTTCCCGTAAAAGACATTTGTTGCGGTAGTCAATCAAAATATAATTATCGCGTTGTGTCATCTGCTCTACATCGGCTTTCTCATTCTTGAGTCTGGATCTCAACGTTCCTCATGAACCTCCGAGGGTGTGACCGACCGTTTGGGGTTACACCCCAAATAATGTGTTCCTCATGAACCTCTGAGGGCGTGACCAACCGTTTGGGGTTACACCCCAAATAATGTGATTTTCTCCTGGTTTTTTAATTAATTAATTGATTTGATTCACCTGCCCTTTGCTATGTGCATTGTGCAGAAATGGTTCACGTTTTCTATCTTCTGGCTTACGGATGGCTTTCTGGTAAAAATGGAAAGGCAGAAGGAGAATGACGTGTAAATATTTACAGCGGTTCTACTCTTACATCTGTCTTTTTGGAGAAGTTGCCAGGGAGGCGATCAAGAAGAACACAGCTGTCAAGGCTCCAAAATTCCTGGTTCATAGCTAGATCATCTGGGTCAGATACGGCCTAGCAGGAGCTGATGGCCCATATTTTATCTGTGGTTCCTTCAGCGTTGTGTAATTCTCTGTGGCTTATTCTAGGTCATGGACAAGATGCCGGAGTCCACCTTGGCCGTAGAAGGGATTGTGCGCCTCACAGCACAACTCAGACGTGGTCTGGCACATGGTCAGTTAGCTGCAATTAGCTGTGGTGTGTTTATGAACAGCTTGCGTGACCGCCCTTAGGATTCGCACTTGTGTGAGGAGGTGAGGAAGTGAAGAATAGTATCTTCTTAGGAGTTGTGATAAATACCTTGCTAGATGATGGTCTTGAGACACCTAGATCATTATCTAGATTAGTGTAGTCCAACCTTGGACTACATCTCCCAGAAATCCTGGCTGGCAGAGATAGTGGCGTAGGCTTTGGGGAGCTGTAGTCTAGGAACGTCTGAGGACTCAAGGTTGAGAAGCTCTGATCTTGATGACCATCCAGTTGATGCTCTGAGTGACATCTCGCTGATGTTCTTAACCTGAGGCCTAACCTGCTTCTTGCTCCATCAACCAGGCTCAACGGTCATTGAGAAAGAACCAAGATTTGATGGAACAATAGCTTTTTTAAGGTTCACGGATGCAAAGATAAATCAAAGTCAAGGGACGCCTTCAATTCCTGGAGAATCGGGACTCCCCCATGGCAAGAATGTGTGTTCTGAGGCACACCCTGTTCCACGTTTCCTTGACTATGTGCCTTAGGGGCTGATCCGGAAAAGCTCTGTTTATGACCTTTGTCTCCTCTGAGAACCACTGAGGGTGAGGGCTGGGCTTCCCACGAGGCCTTCATGGGAAGAAGAGCCAGCCTGTGTAGCCTTGGCCCTCTGAGAACCACTTGAGGCTGAGGGCTGGGCTTCCCACGAGGCCTTCAGTGTTGCCTCAATTATGGCCCCAGATGTTGGGAGTTCGAATCCCCGCTGGGACTCATAGGAAGAAGAGCCAGCCTGTGTAGCCTTGGGAAAGCTGGAGGGTCTCATTAGTGACCCCAGAAATACAGGATGTGGGTGAATCCACCTCTGAGTACGATCTACCTAGGAAACCTTAGAATGGGTTGGCATCACTCGGAATGGACTTGACCCTACACAGGGATGGCGATGATAATGATGAGTGTCGGGGTTTACATCACCTCTCCCCAAACAAATATCGGTTCCAGAGGAGTCCTTATTTAAGGGTTTTATTCAGGGGAGGACACAGTTGAAACAGCAGTGGATAAAAGCCACTTAGGGTCCCCAATGTGGCCCGTTGTCCCTTCTCCGCGTTGATTCCCCCCCACCTCCCTGTTAACAATGACCGATGATGCCCTTGTAGGTTTTCCCATTTTCGCACCGGCTTCGTTTTCAGTGGTTTGTTGGGATTTAGAAGAGGGGAAGACGCCACCTGCTAAGGAGTGGCTCGTGGTAATTCTGCCAGAGTTGCCCACAGAGGGCTCGACGCGTCCCTCTCCCATTTCTGCTAGGAATTGCAACACACATGTGGTTGGGCGTTTGTAAGAAAAAAAGCCCAACAATTTGGCAGGACGAAGGCGAACAGCGTTCGCCCCCTGGCACCCCTTCGCCGGATCAGAAGCCGCCAGAGCGGGTGTGGCCCGGCTGGGGAGTTTCCAAACCCATGTGGTATCGCACCAGGAAGGATTAATGCGCCGAGCAGCTCTTTGACTGCATAATGAGTCCTGGGTGTTGATAAATTCCCCTTCCACGGACAGCAGAGGCTGGTTTCATCACCTCTGTCGAAATCCGGCTCCGAGGAGGTATATAAAGGCTGCAGGTACAGTAGGACAACCCAGACATCACACACAACCACATTTTGGAATCAGCCGGCCGGTTCGGTGAGTGTCTCCTCGATTAAATCTCTCTTGATAGAGCGCTGCTTGGTGTCTCTTGTAGAACGGATGCCTTCCAGGCATTCGTTATCCGTTCGTTTGTTTTTGGGCTCCCCAAGGAAATCTGGGGGGGGGGGTTGGTTTCAGAGAGAAGGGAGCCAGAAAGGGCTAGCTGGGTTTTAGCTGATGCAGAGCCATTGTAGGTCTTTTGAAAGACCCACAGCCTTCGGTGGAAAATCTCTCAAGTGAAACCTTGGCAATTGATAATAATAATTTGGTGCCTTCATATGTTTATGAACACGTACGCACACAGATGCACACATAAATTTGTACTGATAGATTCAATTTTTTCCCCAAGAGATCCTATCCGATTAATGGAACTGTCTCTCATAGAAGTAGGAAGGATGCTGACCTGGTCACCAATCCGCCTGCTGAACCCAGATGCCTTTAACTGTGCAACTCATAGTCTCCCATCTTCTAATGACCGTTTCTTTCTTCCAAAGCTAACTGGGGCTGAGCCTCACTCTTCAAACAGCCTTTTTTTTCAGCTGTAAAGTGGGAGGCAGCAGGGGGAGAGGAAGACCAAAAGTAAGAGGGACGGACTCCCTCAAGGAAGCCACAACCTTGGGTTTATAGGAACCTAGGAGGGCTGCTGAGGAGAGGATCTTTTAGAGGTTGCTTATTCTTAGCGGTGCATTTGAAGTGTTATGAAAAGAAGCCTAATACGAATTATTTAAATTGCTTTAGTTAGAGTTACTTAAAAAAAACCATTGAGTAGATTTTCTGCCTTAGATACCACAATTACTTACAAAGTTTTGTAACCCAAGTCAACTTTGCATGTGAGAGGCCAGCCTGAAGGAGTACGGTTTGTTTGTTTGTTTGTTTTGGGGGCGGGGCCTAGAAAAGTTTTGTTTTTCTTTTTCGGACGGCGATGCCCAGCCTCTCCTTTCTAGCGCGCTAGCCGCGCTAGCCGGGAGATTCTGGAATGTGTCATCCAAAAAGAAGAAGAGGAGAGAAATCTTTGGAACCCCCTTCCATTTTGATAATCCGGGCATTTCTGCATGCTGATTAAAACCTCCCGGTGTGCTGTTGTGGTAAACTCGTGCGCTTGGAGGGGTTCATGCATCTCAGGTGCAGAGAAGACGCCGTTTTTCTCGCCTTCCCAGTGGAATCGGACAAGACTTCCAGAATAGAGGCCCTATTTGAGCTTGGATTTTCCAGATCCCCCGTGTTTTTAAGGGTAACCGTCTACGGACACGTACAATTGATCTCACGCACCTTCTTTTTTTTTTTCCAGCTTCAACATAAAATGGCAGCCACCAAACCCGCTCCCAAGTCCTCCTGTGCGGAAGGGGATTGTCTGCCCGTCTGCACCCTGGAGAAGGCGATGCAAATTATGGTCGACATCTACCACCAGTATGCGTCCCGGGAGGGCAAGGACGACCTCCTGAGCCTTAAGGATCTGACCGAGCTTCTCAAGTGTCAGGCACCAAACTTTCTGTCCGCTTGTGTGAGTGAAACAAGATCCAGGTTCAGGGGTTTGGGGGCAAAGCGATGGAGCAAGGCAGAGGTTCTCACAGCCAGTTGGGGGGGTCAAACAGAGGGTGTGTGTGTACAATTGTACAATCACATTTTCACCAAATTTGAGCCGTAGGGATGTAATAAGCAGGGTTGTTTTCATAGCAGGACTGCAATGCCTGTCAATAGCAAGGAGGTAATTGACAGGCCTGTCGTGTGCAGGGAGGCAGTTGACATACACGGGTTAGCAAAATACCAATAGAATCGGCAGAACTAACGTGTTCGTTTTTATGAACTGGAAACAACACAAATGCACCCGTTTTAAGGAAGTGTTAACAGCATGAATACAGCAGACGTGTGTGTGTGTGTGTGTGAGTGTGTGTGTGTGTGTGAGAGAGAGAGCCATGAATACAGTTGACAGGTGTGTTTTAACAAAGACCCCAAAGGCTTCAAGACCGCTACAATTAAAACAATTCGACGTGGAACAAGGATTTAAAAGCTGTAATGAAAGCAATTGACAAATGCTTTTAAAAACAGGAGCCCCTGAATCAGAAGGGAACAAAAACAGACAGCCCCTCTGCAGTACATCTCTGTTGGGTTCAATAATTAAAAAACGTGCCAGAAAGGGAAGGCGGAGAGAGAGTAGAGAGGAGGCCAACCTAATCTTTCAAGAATAGTTATTCTACACCCGTTGGAGTAGCCTCCAAACTGCCCTGCCCTACATTCATAAATACGTGTGAAGGTGGTGGGCCTGAAAGAAAGACCTTCCCTCAAAATCTTAAAACCAAGGCAGGCTCATATGGGGAGAAAGGCTCCACCAGCCTGTGATTCATTGCTAAGGAATGGGAGTTTCAGATTTCTTGGACTACATATCCCACAATTCCTTATTCTGGGAGTTCTACCTGATAGACACCTCAGCGTGGCTCACCTGGGAGAAGAGGCCTAAACTGGAAGGCTTTGAGGCTGAGCTAGGCCTAGACTTCCTGTTCCCTGCCCTGGTGTTAGTTATAAACAGGAAGTGTGCATGGAGCTAGGCCTAGCTCGGCCTCAAAGCCTTTCAGTTGAGGCCTTCCTCCCAGGCGAGTCAAATTTGAGTGTCTGTGTGCCAGGCAGAACTCGAACCATGGAGAATTATGGGACGGACCGTCCAAGGAATCCAGAAATTCCACTTGGTTGTTCTTAGAGATGTTGGGATGACCTGGAGAACACTGCTGACTCCGTCTCCACAACACCAAGTCCAGAGGGACCAATTTTCAGACCGAATATCTCCCTAGGTTTCTTTTTGCGGGCACGACTTCTAACGCCCTTTCATTTCACCCTCACAGAACCGGAACCGCCCAGGATACATCCCGCAACTCTTCAAACAAGCCGACGTGGATAACAACAAGAACCTGACTTTTGAGGAGTATATGAGGGTTTTTGCCCATCTGGCGGATGATGCCCATCGCATCAGTCACGGTGAAGACCGTTGCGGCCCGGACAAGGACTGAGGACCCCCGCTG